GTGACAGAGAGACTTCAAAAACCATCGCAGACCGTGAAAGAGAAATTAACTAATTAATTAACCAGCTAACCAATTAATTAATTTCTCTGTCCCGGTCTGTGGGGGGGGGGGGAGGAATGGGTTCAAATTTCTACCCTATATACTTCAACACTCCTTTCAGATCGTGTTTCACAAAACAGCGATTTTTAAGTTATGATAAACAAGAACATTTGTTTTTTGCTCTCTCCAGAACGATAATACATTAGATTGTTTACATGTATCGTGAATAAGCATTCTAAAATATCTCTATGATACATTACATCGATTTAAATGCTATTCTTGAAAGTTAATTTTTGAGTAAAAATTCTGAATTATGTAATCGTGTTTTGTTTAAGACAACTGTCGATTGATCATCTATGATGACTAATAAAAAAGAAGTCTCTTTGAGTTTTGCCGTGTCGATGTTCATTTGTTGAGTGATAAACGTTATGTTTGATTTTCTGCTCAACGAGCATAGAGTCTTCGAGAACCTGAATAGTGTAATATGTCGAGCTGTAATTCTGCCCATAGACGTGCGTCCTTGTTACTAGAAATATTCAAGAATCTAAACTAAAACAAACGTATCTTTCGTCGTATATTTTAATTTTATACAAACACATAGCTACTTTAGATTTTGTTTTCAAAGAAAAAAACTTTCTATGATCAGATTATAATTCAATACGAATCATATGTATGAAAAGTTAAATCAAAATTTATCTTCTGCTATTTTTAGTAATAGAATATTAAAAGCACGGGCTGAAAAATTAAATCAACGCATATCCTGATCCAATACATCTTAAGGTTGACAGTTCATGCGACTTATGGAATCAAAATTTGATTTGAAAGACCATAACACACAGAGAGATTTAGAGATCTGCTTAGGCTTGTGATGTATAGAGTCTCCTATTTGATGCATTAAAAAGAAACTATCTGGTCAACAAATCGCGAATCTTTATATTTAGTGTATTGCTTTGTTTGTTGCTTGTCTTTGTCATGATCTTGATCATCGTGGTAAAACAAATGCTTTTATGGTAAAAAGTGCATCAACACTTGCTTCAATATATTCAACATCAACTATGGAACGACATCATTTTAATCAAACAGTCACGATACTTCAAGTAAAAAGATGATAACTATTTTAATTTCTATCAAAACTTCTTTTGTTTTAGACGGAAAGTCATAATATATTTAAACATTTTTCTTCAAAAGAATATCGACAAATGTTAGATGAAATTCGTCATTGTATATTAGCTACTGATTTGGCACTTTTTTTTGAAAATCGTCCTAAACTTGAACGTATTGTTGATAACAATGCATTTGATTGGAACAACAAGGAACATTTGTGAGTTATTAGATCTCTCTATTCTCTATATTATGATCAAAAAAAAAGAGAAAATATTTCATTGGTTTTAAAATTTAAAAAAAAATCTGCCGTTACTGATCTTCCTGTGTTTTAGTTCTATTTCCTCTAATCCTCTATTGCTAAATGTGTTTGTGTGGTGATAGTGCCTATTATTTTTTCTGTTAGTATTTGAAGTGTTTGTGTGTATGTGTGCATTTTGTAGTTTACACACACTTCACACTTATAATAATTTGACACATAGAAAACGCTATAACATAACCAAAACGCCGAAATATTACGTAGATTTGTAACATACACGTTTTTATTAATTTTATTTCACACATTATTCTTCTGATTGCTGTGCTTTTATCTATAGGCCATACTTGATGGGGCTCAGTATGACCGCTGCTGATTTGTGTTCTTCATATAAACAATGGGAAGTGCAGCGATCGAGTGTGAGTAACATCATGGAAGAATTCTTTTTGCAGGTGATTTACTATCTCATACTTCTCAATGCTTTCTTTGTCTTTCTCTCTCTCTCTCTCTCTCTCTTTGTATGTGTGTATGTCTATATTAGTATTTCACAAGAAAGCAGCACTTATTCAACTAAAATACATGTTTATAGTAATACATACACTATCACCACCAGCACATTCCTAGAGGAAAGGACGAGACGGCTAATCAAAGTTTTTATTCTTCTTAATTAGTTTTTATTTCCATACAAAGAAAAAAATTTTCAATGCACTCACAAGAAAAATTTCTTATATTTTGATGCTCTATTGTGTGTATTTGTGTTTTTTGCTTCCAGTCGACGTTTGCAATCACTGTCAATGACGTCTGCCGACCTATGCGCCATGTATAAACCTTGGCTTATACAACAAAATATTGTCAGCATAATTATGGACGAGTTTTGGGAAGAGGTGTGCTTTTTATATAAATATATATATATATCTTTGTAACTGCTGCTTTCTTCTAGTTTTAAAAAATGAGAGAGAGAGAGAGAGAGAGAGAGAGAGAAAGATGTGTACTGTCTTTTATTTTCATTAAAATATTCTATTTTTTTTTTATAAAGGGTGATGAAGAAAAACGTCAAGGTATTCAACCACAATCATTAATGGACCGATCACTTGCACATGAATTACCAAAAAACCAGGTAAGCCTTTTTTCTATGGCAATAATTTCTATCAAGTTTACAAAAAGAAACTATTAAGATTTTTCGGTGGAGAAATCTTTCTAAAAATAGATCTATTATTCTCATCGAAAAAAAAATTGTTATTAAAATTGAGAAATAATTTGATTCTCCACGAAAAGCTTTTCATTTTGGTGCTCACTTAAAAATGGGTCCATTCGCATTAGAAAAACCGACATTGAAATAGACATATGAGAACATTGTCCTAGATCTGATCTTAATATGTAAAATGCATGACTCTTTTTTCAGTACCTCGTTTTCTTTTACTAATATCTTTGCTGCATGCTGCGTGAAAAATATGATTTTCTCATTACATATATCTGGATTCTTTAACGAGTTTCACTGTATTTGATGGATTACTTTTTTTTGCTGGAAAGAGTATATAAAGTTGCAAGGCGACTTCTAGAGACATTGAACTTGTCATTCTTGAGGGTGTGATTAAACATGAAAAATTGTTTAAAAGCAGAGTTTCTGTTAGACACTGTATTTGGGCTTACTCTTTCAAATAAAACCATTCATCTATTGAATGGGAACTAGTAAAAAACTTTAACTTAACTAATAGACTGTATTTAGAAAAGATTGTACATGACTGAAAAGCACAGTATTAAGACTGATTTTTGAGAAAGATCTGAGTTAATAAATGTTCGATGGAAGCATTACTTTGACAAGATAAATAGTAAATTTTCAATTGAAACTTTTTACTGAATCTCCGCCGCATGTGATTTAGATCTTACACTGATTTAATAAAGAAAAGCTTCGAAAGAAAACGATATTAGTCTATTGTACACTAAATACGTTTGATGTGTATTGTTGTGAGTAATTTCGATAGCCACATTATGATTAGGATATTCTATTGCTTTGAAATTGAAATTCACATGGAAACTGTCTCTGATGTTTCTCCTTCTGATTTCCACGATCTGTCCCTATAGACAATATAAATATTCTAATCAAAACGCTGAAATTAATTCGAGTTCTTGTTGAGATTCGACTAAGCTATCGAATTTTTATTCTGTATATTTTTAATCTCTCTTGAAACTTAAATTTTCAGAAATTTCCTATTTATAAAATTTCATCGTAAACTTTGTCTATATCGAGAACTCAATTGGAATCGTTACCATGAAAAAATTCAGAAGTTTTCCACACCATATCATAAAAATATGAGCATTGTTTGTTATGAGATCTATTTTCTTTTTTCGATTGAAAAAGGCTGTGTGTAACATAAGCTTTATGAAAGTTTGTCCATTCTTTTTTATAACAGCTAATGTGGTTTAGTTCTATATGCACAGAAAGTTTAAAACTGAAATTGATAAAGACAATCCGAAACCTAACAACAATATCTATAAAATAAACATACGAAAATACTTGATAACCATTTTAAAGATTTCTCTTGAAATATGATTCGAATTTCGTGGTACAGTAAATCATCGAAATCGAAAGGAAACATTCTTTCTTTCTTTTTCTTGTTAAAGTATAATACATATTGAAATTTTTCTTTACAGGTGAATTTCATGAAAAGCATTTGTTTACCATGCTATGCATTGATAGCTCGTGTTTTACCAGAAACGAAGCCAATGGTCATCGGAGCCAAGTATGAATAAATATGAAAATGAACTTTTGTTTTTATCTAATGAACTATCTTTCTTTTGTAGAAGTAATCTTCAACGATGGCAAGAATTAACTGATGAGCAACAGCAATTATCTCGTACCAATTTAGCTGCTATATCTGCTAGTACATCCACAGATGATACATCTGATTCTTCTCGAACTCCTCCAGCTAATAATACACGTCAGTCGTCATCGTCGTGATATGCTTTTGTTTTTCGCGAACGGTTTTGTTTTTATTATAAAGGAAATCAAATATTTTCAAAAAAACTCATGTTCGTGTGTATTCTATTCTCTCGTTGTTTTTGTGTTTATTCTCTTCCTTATTTTTCTTCTCTCTTTTTTTATATATAAATTACAGAAAACAATGTTGATTTAAGATTTCTAACTGCATCATTCTCCAAAAATGAACGTATTCTTTATTTTCACATAGAGACAAATGACAATGACGATACATCTTTTCTTTTATGAAAAAACACACAAACGCAAATGACTAAATACATGTTATGTATAGTGCGACAAGAGAAAAGAAACGAAGAGAAATAAGAAGACAATGTTTTGTTTCTTTTTCATCAAAGAATTACTGAAATAATAATAACAACAACAACAAAAAAACAAAACAAACAAAGTTGTCTAATATAATTTTGCTTTTTTTTTAAATATGTCAATATATGCGTATGTGTGTAATAAAGAAACAAAGAGCGAGAACGAGAGAGACAAGGAGAAAGAGATATGTAATCGTGCGGAATTAGTCAGCACAAAAGATATATGATGCTTAAAACACCAATAAAGAAGAAAAGAAAAAGAGAAGCAAAAAAGGAAAACAAAAAAAAACAAATAAATGAATGTTTATGATGATAAAGGTTCATCATTTTCATCCGTATTTCTTGTTGATGGTGGTGTTCGTAAATCGACAAGACCTTTTTCACGTATTACTTTTAATGCAGCTTGTTCAGCAGCACGTACAACATCGTCACTATGATCAACTAATGAAATTATATTAACACCATCCCATTGAACACCACATGAATTCAATAATTCATGAACCTTAAATTACAAAATAAGTAAATAGTATGAATAATAATAATAACAATAATAATAAAAAAGCTCGAATCATTTTGATACAAAACAAAATTAAATAGAAAACTATTCAGAGACGTTAATCGTTTTCGACCCATAACGAATAGAATACTACACAATTCGATAATTTTCAGAGTCTAGAATCTTTGTTCTTAATACTATTTTCTATTGATATCGAGTGATGATTAGTCAACTTCCAATAGGAGTATCACAAAACTTCGAATTCATACTTACACAAATTATATTCTAGTGTTCAAAAGAGGCAGAGAGAGAGAGAGAAAATAAAAAAACAAATCTAAATCTTACATCACTGTCTGTAACAGGTATTTCTTGTGTTCCACCTGCCGTTGTTTCAAGTAGCATACGTACATCGAAACCAGCCGCTTGCTCATCATAATGTATAGCTGGATGCTTACCACGATAAAATAAAATTCGAGCACGTTCATTTGCTTCACGCCAACTAAGACCACGAGCAACACGATGTGACGAGGTGCTACTATTCATAGTTTGATCACCATTTATTGATGTTGATAAATATCGTGAAGAATCATCATTTCCATATTTGGATGCTCCATAAGCACCAGCGCGTGGTGGTAATGAAACATACATTTCTTTAATAACTAATGCTAAAACAAAAGAAAATAAAAATCTATTAGATTTGTTTTTCTAAAAAAACAAAAAAACTTTACGTTTTCCATCTAAACGATCTTTCAGTAATGTTTGTACTTCTGGTTTGTCAATGTCATCGAATTGATTTGTTGCATGAGCTTGTTCAATAACATCGACAATTTGTTCGATTAATTTTTCATGATTATGATTAAAATCTTTTCTTAATCTTTCTTTTAAATCGTTATAAGTTTTAAATTCTCCAATTTTTTTCTCTTCTAAATGATGAAATGTTTTATTAACATAGGTTTCAATTTGATTTTCGGTATACAATGGTTTGTTATAATCATGTAATAATGTTGTTATCGATGAAATGATTTTTTTACGATTTGTGTGTATATTTTGTTTTGCACGATCAGTTAATAATGATGATGTACGTCGTTTTCCATTGACAGTTATAACATTTATTGATGTTACATCTTGTTGATTTGAATTAGGCGATTGTTGTAATAATAATAAACCGTCATTTTGCGCTTTTTTCACTAATTCAATTGAACGATCACATAGATCATGTGCTTTGGGAAATTCACGTCTTAATTGTGAACTTAATTCATCCCATGTGTATATTACATTCAATGACAGTAAATCTGAGGAACGATTTAAAATTTTATGCAATTCTTTTGCTTGTTTCTTTGTTGTTTTTTTATCTTTCGATTCATTATCAATTAAATATTGATTTAACCATTGTAATTGATTGGATTTTAATAGATTGTGCTCTTGAGTTGTTAATAGATTTGCTTGACTATTTACTTGATTATATAGATTAGCTGTTTGAGTTATATTTGAATCTAATATATCGAGATTGATTTTTTCATTCATTTGTGTAATATCACAATGATCAAATGTATCCCGCATGATATCAACTAGTGGATCAACAAGATAAAATGTTTGTTTATATTCAGTTTTTAAATCATTTCGAATTTGTTCATAAGAAACGATTTTCGGTTGATTTACGAGTATTAAACTCTTACGAATTATCTTATCCGTTTCTTTTGGATGTTCAGGAAATTGCCGTATGGGTGGTTGACTTGATTGAATATGATCACGAAGAATATTACCTAATTCATTACGATGAGTATTTAATTGCGTACGACGACGTTCATCCAGTAAACCAACTTGTGTTGCTACTGCTGCTGTTTCTGTCGTGGTTTTTGTTGATGGAACTTTTGGTTTCGACTTTGAACGACCACATGATAACCACGAACGTGTTGTTGGTTGTTCTGGAGATATTGGAGTACGTTCACTGCAGAGAGAATAAGAGAAAAAAATTATTCACATTCTCTCAACGCGATCCGTATGTAGAACAAGTTGCTCACATTTGAATTAAAGACTATACTTAATTTTTTTTATAAACATCATATTATGAACCCGTAAGACGAAGGAGATTACCCAAACAAAGTATTCGTCATCGACTAATTAAGGTAAAAGCTGAGTATTGAAAAATGCTCCTGAACAACATATAAATCTATTTCAAAACTACTATTTTTCTAAGAAGAATGAAAAAATAGCAATTGTGAGGATAGAAACTACACTCGATTCGCCCCAACGAATTTTACTAGTGAGTCTAGAATGCCTAAACATTATATTGTTTTAAAGTCAAACTTTACAGGTCATATGACAAATAGATTTTTTCTGAAAAAAAATACATACCGTGTTACTTTGTCCGATGGTTTTACTGTATCAAATGCTTGCTTAGCTGAATGACGAACCATCTGTAAAATAAAGATAGATAATCAAACGAAAGAAACATTAATTATAACTTACATCACGAATTGCTAATGGAAATTCTGGTTTATCAATATTGTCTAAACCTTGGTTTTCAATAGTAAAATAAAGTGAACGTACAACGGGATCAACAATAAAAGCATCATTTTTATGTTCAACGATTAATTTTTGTTTTAATTCTGGATATGTTGTGACTTTTTTGTCTTTCACTAAATCGATTGCATGTTTAAGAATTTTATTTAATGCTTTTTGGTCTTTTTTTGTATCAAAATCAACAATGGATTTTGATATTTCAGTTTCTAAACTTTTCTTCAGGTCACTTTCTCGAAATAATAATTTAGCACGTAGTTCATCATTCATGGTTATTTTACGAGTGAAATCATGTTTCAATAGAGAAATATCAGATTTCGATTCGGTCGCTAGATTTTCTTGTTGAATATCGGGTAATGTTAAATCTTTTGTTGTAATAGTATCGGCTATTTCACTACCTAAACCTGAACTAGTTGATAGATGTTGATTACCATTTTCAATGGTTTGATTTGTATCGAACGTTGATGATGGATGAATATGTGAAGCGACAATTGCTTCAAGACCGCTGTCTGAACGAGATTGTGATGGTTCTTCTTGTTTTATTGATATTTTATAAGCATCAGCTTTTGGTAGACCGGATAAATCAAGTTCGGGAATATGTATTGCTGGTGCTTTTATTTCGAATGATGAAACTTTTTTCGAGTCGACGTGTTTGTCCTATAATATTAAACATAAAAATCTCATAAACATTTATGAAATGTTGTGATTATTATAGAATTATGCTCTCTAATTGATTAAAGTACAGTTATCTCGTCAACCCGAAAAAGGATTTTTCTTTTTCATAGGATGTCACTCTTTGCTCTAGATCATACTTGCCATATATTAACAATGAAGAGAAGAAAACCTTTCATGAACTAATACATAGTATCATGATATCTTATATAACATAAATACTGTTGAAAATGTCAAGCTCTTTATGTTATATATATATATATGTTCATAGATGTATCGAGGTCAAGTCTTCCATTAGAGAATATTCTCATAGAAAAAAAAAAGAAAATCCTTGGATAAAAAGAAATAAAAGAATTGAAGCATTTTACATGCTGATCAAAACCTGCTGGCTTTTAATTTTATTTCTATGGTCTTTGTATGTGGATGAAAGACATAAACTGAACTGTTAATTATCGTGCCATTAAGATTTAACATACCTTTACTTCTACTGATTGTTTTTCAATAGGAGATGTTATAGCTATTGATTCAAGTTTAATGTTCTCTATTAATGATGTATCGACAGCACTTGATGAAATTTCAGCATTGATTTGTTCATCGATTGCTTTTGCAATAGCTAACGATGAAATATTAGATGTTTGAACAGGAATTTGTTTTTCTAGAACAACTGCTTGAGTTAAAACTTCTTCAGTTTTAACTTCAATCGTTTGTTGTATGTCAACATCATTCACTGTTGTTGTGGGTAGGACTAGTTCGGGAACTGTTAAAACTGGTTCAGCTACAACTATTTCTTCATTGATAGTTGGTTTTTTTGGTGCTTGACGTTTCTTTTCAGTAGTTTGAATTGTCGGTAAACGAATTGGTTCTACTGATGGTAAAGTTAAATCGACTGCTGGCAAATTGTTAGTTGGTGCACGTAATGAACCTTTAGTTTTCAATGTTGAAGATATATTCGATGACGGATTTGGTATATCAACTTCTGGTAAACTAGTTTGAGGTGCAGCAATAGTTTTTGTTTTGTCTTTTTGTTTTTCTTTTACTGCATTAGATTTAGTACCAAAACATGAGCAAAGTGCAAGTGTTGAGGACTTCTTTTTGATGTCAGCTTTCGATTCGATGACTTGTTTTTCCGTTGATTTTATTGGTTGAGTTAAAATTTCAACAGCTGGGACGATTTTGGATGTATCGACTTGTACGTCATTTTCAAATGATGGCAATGATGAAGTTATATCTTTCGATAAGACTGGAAGGGGTTCTGTTGAAGGAATTTCAAACGAAAAGTCAGGAACTTTCGTTGATACTTTAATATCTTCTATTGTTTGTTTCTAAAAAATGAATTCAAATTTGATTTTAAACAATATAAATTATCTTTATTTTACATACAGTAGTAAGTACAGGTAATTCAGGTGGTTGAACGAAATATGTATCGGTAATAGTATACTTTTGTTCATTAGATAATAATTCTGGTTTAATTGCGACTTCACTTTCTTCGAAAGGTAATTTCGGTAATTCTGGGATTGCCTAAAAGACAGAGAAAAATGAAAATAAATTCAATAATTGTTTTATTCTATATTCTTGCACTCGGCTTCGTAATTATATACTGATTAAAACGAAAACTAATTGGAAAAAAGGGAATCTTTTTGAAAACTATATTGTACTTGAGCTTTACTTGCCAGAATCAAATGTATTTGAAAGAAAATTTCGTCTTTCAACTTACTGAATCTGTTTTGATATCATAATTAGTATCAATAGTAAAGTTTTGTTCATCACTTTGAAGAGATACGATATTATTAATAGGTGATGTTAATGCTAGACCATCGGTAATCGTTGGTAAAGGTACAGTTTCCAGTGATTCTTTAATATCAATTGTTAATGAAGCTGCTGGTGACTTTTCTTGTTCATTTTGCACACGAATATCAGGTAGTTTAATATTTTCTTTTTCATTTAATGTTAATTGAAGTTCAGGTAATTCAATATTTGGAACCTTTAAAGGATCAACAGTTAAATCAATTGTTGGTTTACTAGTATCAGGAAGATTTAAATTTGGTATTGGTGGTAAATCAACAACTGGAATTGAAAATTCTGATGATTGTTTAAGTTGTCCACTTGTCATATCAACTTCTGGTCGATCGTATGTTGGTAATGGAACATCAAGCTTTGGCAAATCAATACTTGGCACATGTAGTGGATCAATATCATGAGAATTTTTTTGTTGTGTATCTTCATTTGTTGTTAAATTTTGTTCATAAGATGGTAATTTAAGAGCTGGTACATTGGACTTACGATCACTATGACGGAATAATGTTGAAAATAAGCCTGATTTCCGTTCTGTTTTAACTTTTGGTTCTTTTTCAACCTTGACTTTTGGCTCTTTTTCGGGCTTCGCCTTTGATTCTTTTTCTGGTTTCACTTTTCGTTCTTTTTCTGGTTTTACTTTGGGTTCTTTAGCTTTTTTCGTTTTTGATTTCTTAGTTGGTAATGTGTATGAACCTTTTTTCGTTGATTCATCTATTTCAACATTAGGCATTGCTTCAGCTGTTTTAATCGTGGATTCAAGTTTAACTTCTGTTGGAATAATATCGTTAACAGACGTTTTAATTTCTATTGATGGAATTTCAGTTGATATTTCATTGATAGCTATCTAAAAATATCAAATAAATGAACTCTAGAAATGAATTTTAATTTGTTTCTGTTTACCTTTTCTTCGGTATTTATTTGCACAACTTCAACAGTTGGTGTTTCAGTTAAACGAGGAGTGTCATAAGTATTAGCGTCAGGTAGTGAATATTCATTTTCTGTCGGTGTTATCGGCACAAGCTCACTCGATGGTTCTTGATAATGAGGCTCTTCCGTTAGTACTAACTTTTCAATTGTTATATCTAAGTGATCGTCTAATTTTGGAAGATTCTAAAAACAAAAAGGTATTATTAATCAATGGAATTCACAATAGAATTACTATAATGATTTGTTCTTGCTCTTGAGCAACTTCAGCTGGTGTTGAAGTATCTTGTTGGTCCGATGTTGATGGTAATACTGGTACTGCTGTTGATTCTAGTGAAATTTGAGTCTTTGATGTACCATCGATTTTTTCTTGTTCAGTTGTTTTCTTTTGTTCGATTGGTGCTTGAACAGTTTCCGATTTCGATTCCTTTTTCTTTTTCTCGGCTGCCTTTGCACCAAAACACGATGCACATAAGCCGACACCAGAAGAATTTTTCACTTTAGGTGTTTTCTTCACTTTATTAGTTTTGTCTTTTGTTGCAATTACAATGGTTGGTAATGGTCCAGGCTTAACTAGTTCGACTTCCGGTAAATCGATACCTGCGCCATGTAAATTAAGAATTGGTTTTGATACAGGCGCTTCTGCAATTTTAGTTAATGGAGTAGCAATTGATGTTGCTTCATATTGAACATCAACTGGTTCGATTGTTGGTGGTCGTGGTTCTAAATGTGCTATTGATTTATGTTCAGTAATTTCAAGTTTAAGATCAGTTGGTTGCACTCTTGATGTTTCTTCATTAACTATTGTTTGAACAACAATAGATTCAACTGTTGCTAATTTATCTTCATTTGTTGCAGATTGAATATTCATTGGTTCGGTTGCTTTTAACTGTGTTTCTATAGAAACAATCGGTTTTTCTTCGTTTGCAATTAAGTGAAGTTGTGTCTTTTCAGATGTTGACGATCGTTCATAGTCACTCGAAGATTTTGTCTAAATAAAATAATATTAAAAAATAATTACACTAGATCAAATACTAAAGAGAAATAGAACTAAGCGTGCCAATCACATCAAGTTTTGGTTTTAACCACTTAATGCATTTCAGAGGAAGTACAACAAATCAATGCAGACGAATATGAACTATTCAAGGTATACATGTGTATACAGATATGGATATAAACTAGTTTGAAGGACACGTAAGCAATGAGTATGAAAAGGATATAACCATGCAGAAAAGGTGAAAAGATGCAAATAGGTTTTTAATGTCTTCTTACAAGAGGTAGGACGAATTGAGTATCGAAATCATTTGGTTTGTATGACATATCAAGGCCAGGACGGTTACGAAAAACATCGATATATATACGTTTACCATCTGGTAAGACCGTATAATCAACGACTGATTTTTCTTCAATAGAAGTTTTTATTTGTGGATCTTTATCAACAGTCGTTGATGACATAATTATAGGTTGGTCTATGGAAGATTTTGCTTTTTTATTTCCAAAACAAGAAAATAGACCAGTTGATTTACGTTTTTTTACATGAATCGGTTTTGCTAATGTTTTATCCCTGGTTGCAATTGGTTCTGATGATAAATTTTCTATTGTTTGTTGTACTGTTTCTGTTATGATATCATTCGAATGTTTGCCATCCAAATGTATATCATTTGACAATTTACTTTGATCTATAGCCTGGAAAAATCGAGCTCTTTTTTTTTCTTATATCGATAATTTGTTTTTATTCAAAGGGAACAAAGAAATAGATGAAAACTTACTTTATCCGATTCATTGATTTGATCAGCTATGGGTTCACTTATTGTTTCAAATTCATTTTTAACTTTACTAGCTAAACTTTCATAGGTTGCTGTTGTCATTGAATAACCGGAGTCCGATTGGCTGAAATCATTTGCTGATGATTCTTTCATGTCATCAACTGGTACCAATAATCGTCCAATCTCAAATTGTAAATTTGAATATTCATCTTTGTTATTTAAAATAGTTTCAGTTAATGAACGAAATTGTTTTTCACTTAAATCAAGCGTGGGCTCGAATGATTGTTGTAATTGATAAATAAATGGTTGTGATAAATTGAATTTTTCGAATGAATGTATTTCACTAAGATTAATATCTGTTAAGTATTCGCCTGAGCGTTTAATGCGTATTAAATTCAATGATGATTCATTATCGCCAGTGGTAGGACGAAATAAACTTTTCATACGTTGAATTGTATTAGTCGACAAGCCTAATTTTGGATCATCAAGATCAATATATTCATAAGCGATTGCTTCAGCTAATGTGATAGGTTTATGTAATGATATATCAGCAAGCATTTTAATTAATTGTTCTTCGTTGTAAAATGATTCAGTTTTCTTCATATTATCCGTTATATCCATCTTCTTTGTATGCGCTAATGCTTGTTGTTTTTCGTGATCGTTGTCAATTACTAATAATATAAAAGAAAAACGGAGACGTTTTTTTTCGCTTATTCATTTCTGAAATGCATTTTTATGTTCTTCCGTCCTCTCTTTTTAAATAAATGCATATGTATACAAAAGAAACCAAGAGAGTTACGCTGCTGCTGTTCTTCATTTCTGTTTGGAGAGGACGAGAAAAAGCCGAACGCGTACGTAAGTGAAACCGAGACATTACCAGTCGTCAAACACTTTATTGTATGTAAAAATAAAAAGTAAGCAAACGTACAAACAAGGTAAAATATTGAATGGCATCAGAATCGCGCATTCAACCTTCATGTTCATCGATTTCTCAAGCAACAACAAACAATTCAAATGGTTCTCATGAAATATCTGCTAATGTTACTCCACGGAAGAATAAAGTTCGCAAATTACTACATCGGATATTTGGAAATTTACATGCGGCACCAGCTATTGAGACAACTGAACTCAAACAATATCCGATTAATGGATGCTGTGTCAATAATAAACGAAGAACAGTTTTAAGAAAGAAATAAAAATAAAACAGACTATATAAGACTATTATCTAATCTTGAATATATATTTGTACTGTATAATGTACTACGTATAATTTTATATGTGTATAAATACATCATATTCGCTCGCATACTGAATATCGACATATACGGATAAAAGGATGACGCACAAGGTTCAATAGGATAGTGTGACAAAGGCCGACTATTCACAAGCAATCGACTGCTCAAGAATATAGCAGTTGAGTTTATTTCATGTAGGATAGAATCGATTAAAACTTACCAGTAGAATTAGAATAACGTCCCGGCGGCATCCAGTGGCACTTAGACAAAACGTACTGATGAAATCTCATAGTATCAATAAATTGAACTGTCGACAAGCGCTCACCCTTTTTTCTTTCTATTCCTTCGGCCTTAAACAAACACCTATGTGTCCAGATGTATGTGTCACCAATGTGTGTGACTGTCTATTGTCGTTTGTCCAATCATCGATTTGGAATAAGGCATGACCTCTCGCTCGCTCGTCAAAATGAATGAATAGAAAAAATATTCTATCCTCTACTTCTGCTCGTTCACTCTTTGTTTCTTTTTTTTACCTCGTGATTTTTATTAATTCAGGATGATCATCATCAACAACATGAGTATTGCAGATAATTAAGATGACCGAATGCTCTCGTCTAATGGTAACCTTTTTTCTCGTTTCTTTTGTTCTTTCTCATTCTATTTGCGAGAGGAAATAGTAGGACTATTAACCGCAAGTAATGCCAATCAACCAACTCAATAGTCAATGAGGTATAATGATGCAACCGCAAATAGCAAAAGAAGAGGAAATCGGTTAGAAAGGACTTATATCGATTATATGCTCCTTGCTTTTTTTTTCTTTTTTCTCCTCTAATTTATCTGTATGATGAGAGAGAAATGCTTATAGGAACAAGATCTTCTTCTGATATAGACATGATGTTATGGTAAGAAGAAAAATCAACTCATAACGTCAAGGCTAATGTATAACAGGGATCAATCCATCAAACTGAATTATTCATACAAACAGAAGAAAAAAAAAGAAAGTAATGCTTATATTAACCTTTCTCATCGGATTGACCATGATTTTGTAAACGTTCAAGTGTATCTTCGATATTTTCAACTAATGGTTTAGCAATAACATCAATATTGGATTGGTCATCTCTTTCATTCATATATGTTTGTACAATTGTTATATAATCAATATTATCAGAAAGATTTTTAATATCTTTTTCATTATGCATTGTTGAAAATGTATTTAATAAATTCGATTGTTTAGAAGTAAACAAATCTTCATATGTTTTAACCATCGGTTGAATGAATCCACTAGTTGATAATTTATTGGAATATTCAGTTTTTACTTGTTCAAGTAAATTTGTCCATGATGAACAACGATCATGATTTAATAAATCAAGAATATGTGATGAAATTTTTCTTCCTTGTAAATCTTGTTCATTGGATGTAAATAATTTCGAGGGTAAAAATACTTTTAAATGTATATAATCAATTAATAAGGATTTTTTATCATTAATTAATTGTTTAATATCATCGGATATTAATTTTACACCTTGATCTGATGATTGAACAATAGATTCAGCTTCAAGACTTGTTGATGTAACAACAGCATTTGTTGTTGTTGCTGATGCTTTCTTTTTCTGTTTCGATTTCTGTTCAATTATAGTTGCTGCTTTTTGTTTTCGTTGCACTTCATCATAATCAGCTGTTGTATTACGAGTACATGAACACAGATTAAGACTTGATTTTTTTTTCTTTGTTTTCTTTTGTTTTTGTTCTTCGGTTGTTCCGGTTGATAGTGTTGCTTTTTCTTGTTGTTGTGGTGTTGACGATGATAAGGAAGGAGAAGATAAGGTTTCAGCAACGGGACCACGTCCAACGGTTGTTGCATCAGCTAATGTTTGATCTTGCTTAGTTTCATTGTCATGAATATCAACTGTTGATGATTGTTGTTTTATTGGACTATCAGATGGAAAATCACCTGATGTAACTATTTCATTGGAAGGATCATAATATTTTTCTTGCACTTGTATTGAACGCGGTTGATCCATCCATGATGATGACGATGTATGATATGTTGATGGTGTATTATAAGTGACTTGTGCAGATGATAATAATTTACTAACATCATCAATGCCTAATTCACGTTTAGCACGTTCAAGATCATGTTGATCATTAATTGTTATTGTTCGAGTTATTTCAGTGACTTCAGTTTTAACAACTTTTGTTATTGTATTATGTGTTTCAGGATCTTGTGCCACGGTTTTTTTAGTTTCAATTTTCTTTTTAACTTTACATTCAAGATCCTTGTCTTCTTCAACTGTTGTCACAATTTCTTCAATCATACCTTCGTCATCGGATTGAATATTTTCATTTTCATCTTCTGGATTACCACGATCGATACTTCGACCACCAATAAATCGAGCTTTAACTTTATCAAGTTCATTTGTAGCGACTTGTTGAACAGATTCAATAGTTGATTCCATTTTTTCTTTAGATTGTTTTTTGTAAGACTTTTTTTCATTTAATTTTAAGTCTTTATCACTTTCCATGGTAGGTTCTTTATTTGTTAATTGATAAGATACTAATGGTACATTAACAGTGGACGTTCCTTCTGAGCGGGATTTATCAACGAGAATCCTAGAGAGAAGAAGAAGAAAAAAAGAATATAACCTTTGTTCCTTTGCACTTTAAGACAAATGTCTGATAATACACGGTACCGACGTTCTTTCTTTCTCTTTCGCTCTGTCTCTTTGTCTGTATGAAAGGAATTCGCTTTTAACCAATGATTAAAATTATAGGTAAGATAGTAATTTTCTTTTTAATGAAAATGTAACAATTTTTTTTCTTACTATAAAATATTATGAATATATGTAGAAAAGAAATTTATCGCCAATTATTAACGCAATTTTCTTTTTCTTAATTAGCGACATCTGTATTGATACACTAACTATAATCAAGGTTGAAAAAAGTAATGCATATTAAATAATTTATTCTACGAAATATAGATATATATGAAAGTAGAAAATCAATCATGATAAAAAAAAATGAAGAATTGCTCTTTTTGCTGTTGTCAAGAATCTCTTCTCTTTTGTATGAGAGGAAATCACATTGGTTATATAGTGTCTGTTCGTTTAGTAAAACTCTTATTACCGGAAATAGTTAATTTTACTTTTCTCTCCGAATAGACAGAGAGAGAGAGAGAGAGAGAGATTTCTATTTTTTATACTCAAATATTATTTATAGATAAACGTAGGCCTCGAAGCCTTCAGGCTTATTCTATCCGAAGTGATGGTTGACCGGGTATAAAAAAAAAGAAAAGAAACGCCAGGAAATGGTCTTTCATTTTATTTTTGCCAAAAGGCTTTTCTACTTATAGCGCAGAACGACCATATCAATCATGCAGAAGAACTTTTTACTATGATTGATAACAATTATGAGGTCTATACACTTCATATATCCACGCGTCGAAAAATAAAAATAAAAAAGAAGAAAGACAATAAATTTGTTGTTATATCACTTTTCATTACATTACGATTCTATTTCAGATCTGACAACAACCGATTCCTTCTTAATATTACTTTACTCTCTATTTTCTTCTGGAGTGGGTTCTTGTATACATATACACACGTCAAAGCGCTCGCGCATCGAGTAAGTGAGGTTGAAATATATGTGAAGCATTACACACGAATCATTCTTTTTCCTTACGCACTCTTCGGCTCTCGAACCCCTAATTTGATTGATGAACAATACGTTATGCGTGTAAGCACGTATATACGAAGAGTACAATAAATAAAAATATATATATACATGAAGTTCACTTTTTTCTTATTCATTCATTCATTCATTCATTCATTCATTCATTCATTCATTCATTCATTGAATGAATATTAAAAAAGCAATCATGTTTACTATCGTTAATTTTCTTACCGAAATCTTTTTTTTCGCAATACGTAGGGCATTAACTCTTTATGAGTTTTCGGTGTGAGTAAAAGTGTATAGGATCCATTTCTTTCAACAACAAGATCAACTCCTGTTAAGTGCATTCGTGTTGTTGCATTATTTGTATCAGTAGCAATACCAATTGGTGATGTTTCATTCGATGATGCTACTGTTGCCGATAATGGATTGAGAGGATTATTCGTATTTAAATTTGCGGTTGCGTTTTGTTCGGATAATGATGTTTGTACCAATAAACGAGCATTTGAACAGCCCATTTTACGTGTTTATATGTTCGTGTATTTAAGAAAAAAATGTTTCTCTAATGAAGACCATAAGACGTACACACATAAGTAGCGAGTAAAAAAAGAAAAGGTGGCAGTAGTCTTTACTACAGTCGTTATTCTATCTGAATCTACACCGAGAACGAGAGAGAAAAAACTCGTTCGTCAAGAGTTGATGGGAAAAAGAGAAGAAAAAAAATGAGAATAGTGAGCACAAGAGAAAGAGTGAGAGCGAACAAACGAGGAAAACAAATTTTCAAATGTCAAAGTTAGCAGCGACTGTTATAATAGTGGAATCCTCTCCTTTTTTTGTCGTTGTTAAAAAAAAAGAAGAGGACGACGCACAAACGACCGACCGACCGATGGCGACGAACAGCAGAAAGAAAGACGACGACAATGAAGAAGCAACAGAAGGAGAGAATTCTTTCTCTTCTCTCTTGTTTTACACATCATCACTTTTTTTCTCGGGCATTTACTTATGCTCCGCTTTTTTTTGGTTCGTACGTCAGGCGTCGTACTACTATAACCGACTTACATCCGCGTAGAAATAGAAAAGAAAAGAGAAGACACAAATCGTCACCACTTCGATATTCGTTGATACGCTAACTTTCCTACTTAACAAAGAAGGAAAAAAGACTTTAAAGATGGGAAAAAATGATATTCATCTTTCATCAATAACTGATATAGAAACGTGCAAACGAAGATTGGTACACATATGCTGTGTTTTTCCTTTTTTCTTTAATTATTTTACTTCTTGTTTTTTTATTAACAATGATGATGATTTAGTAGAATCGATTGTGTTACATGTTGCTCATTGGGTAGCAACGAACGTCGCTTTTAGATATTATGCTTGCAGTAATTTGAGAACACCCAAGCATGCCAAAAAAAAACCAAGGGAGAAAATTAATTGTAGTTGTTGTTATTATTATGCAAATAGAAGGCAACATCTTTTGGAATGATTACTCTTGTAGTTGTATTGCTAAATGAGATTTATTTTATCTATTGATGTATGTATAATGACCATCTGCGTAGACATATTGTACGCAAGTCACAAATACGACAAGTGTCTATGTGCTGACAAACGTACACATACATTTGTCCTTGTCGTAGATATATAAACATCAACAATGATAGAACGAATGGATTTAGAAGAAAATTGGATCGATAGAAATGCGTAAGACAAGTTTTCTCGTCGTGTTTATCTCTCATGTAAAAAATAGAGAATATGATTGAAAGGTAAGGATGAGAAATTAGTTTTATATTCGTAGTTTTTTACATGCGTAGACACATCACATCAAGATAAATGAGTAGATAAAAATTTTGTTGACAAATGAGTTTTTTCCCGTCACTTGTCAATATATCGAGCTTTTTCAATGCTAACACCCTCAGATCAAATACCGTCGATGATGGGTATAAAAACGATGATGATGATGTAAGCGTATATAAAAATGCATAAAACAATTGACATTTCTCGTTTCTTTTTATTTCCTCTCATTCTCATTATTGTAGGAAAAAGTATATATATATATATATATATATTTATAAGCGTTAGGTGTTGGCATCGATTGTCTGAGAACATGTCTATCATCGAATCAATATAAGTAACACGTGAAAAAAGAAATCTGATTCAAGGAATATTTGTACTTTTCTACAATAAAAGATGAAATGTAAAGACACCCCTTCTGTCTACACTCAGGAGTCTCATTGAATTTCGATTAGCTTTTCAGATTGCTCGTTAAATCTATTGACGTCGTATGTACAAGATTAATCTTTACTCTCTTGTTTTTTTTCTATCTGCCCACCCTCCTACGTGGACACACATGCACACACACATAGATTGCGGAAGTCAATTAGACTGTACACGAAAGCGCATACAAAAGAAAGAGGGGATAGAGAAAGAGAGAGAGAGAGAGAGGCATGTGGTGATTGTTGGTAGTAAAGGTCAACTGCTGGTCACCTGGTTGATACCCCCTGTGTCGCATTTTTCTGTTCTCACAACCTATAGTGCAATATTACAATAGATATGGTAAAGTCAATAAGTATGGTAGATGCTCTTAACAATATAAAAATGGAATCATTTCAATCGGTAGCGTCTATATTGATTTGAAGATAGATTTAATTCGTTTTGTGTGTTGTCATCAAATAAAAGAAGAAAACAGAGAAGAAGAAAACGAAGTCAAGTATATGTCCATCTAGCTAACTTCAAAATAAAAGACATTGTTATCACACTTCAAATTTGAACACTTCATTTCTTTTTTCAAAGACGATCATTTCGTTTGAAATCAAAGAATCGTTTTTTCTATTTTATTTGCTCCTGCTTAACACTGAACAGTATGCCCATTATTTCTATGCCATATTATATTAGGCATGGACAAAAATATCGCCGATGGACCTTGACAACAAATGCTTTGATGGGTCACAACTCGACTTGCCTAATTGTTAAAATATCTTCTCGATTGCTGACAAATGTCACTTTAGTTTTATCTCGACAGTTGTTCCCCCTAAACCACTAGTTTATATCCGTTTTCTTCACACGTCTACATGTATATTGAAAAAAAAACGAGGTCGCAGATGGTACCCCGTCGGACATTTTCTTTTGTCGCGTTGTCATCTTCAAAAAGAATGAAAACGGAAAGGAGCTATAACAAGAATATTGTTTTTTCTCGAAATACAGACATTTCAAAGAAACATTAACGGCTACTCAGATGAATGTTATTCAAACAGAAACACAAAACATAAAATTTCACCAACTTACTCGTTTACAATGAAAGAATACACTACCAACAATAACAAAAAAACACTCTTTTTTTCTTTTTTTTTTTAAAGATTGTTTTTGAATGCATACAATGCAACGCAGATGGCACATTAATATATATACATATATGTACGTGAACAGCGACTTACTCATCGTGGATGACTAATTTCATAGGAAAATAAAAGTGCCGACGTAGGCACCCAAGAGAATTTCGAAATAGAAAAAAAAGGAAGTATTACAAATATTATAATATTCCCCAATAGAATAGATCGCATAAAATGAATGACAATCTTGATCTAACCACAAAGCAGATACATAGTTTCTAGATATCACATTTATACAACGACGATGATCTTATACAATTCTGTATCAAATCAATATTGTATATCTTTTCTTTCACAACTAATACTAACATTGCTAATGCACATTTTTTTAGCTTATTTATCAAACAAATAAATATTCTATTCTGCCGAAGATAAGGTTCAAGTGAATAGTTGTACGCATAGATAGAAAAAAACCCAACAAACGAAAAATGAAATATTATCTTACCTTCGACGTTCACGTGAATCAAGATAGAAATGTTCTCTATGTAATAGATATCCTATATAAGAAATGAATGAATCACAATACTACTACGTGGATGATCAAGTTAGATGTAAATGTGACAACAATGTACGAGCGATATGAATGAATGAATGAATGGGAAGAATAGAAAGAAGGATACAAATCGTGCGTGTGTGTGCATGTATGGGATAGAGAAAAAGCGCCAAACGATAGATATATGTATGTCACATTAACAGTGGCAATCGTTGTATAGTACCCACAAAAAGAAAAGGCGAGAGTTAAACGATCAGCAGTAAACAGAGAAGAAATGCACACAAACATGAATATTAGCTTAATGTCATTAGTTTTCTTCTACTATGATTTGTCTGATAATCAGTGAAGGTGATACACTAGTCGTACAAGCTGTCGATAGATTCTCTCACATCGTACAACTCTAATATCGTTTCAAACTATCTGAACAACGAATGTTTGATCGATGAAATCAATTGCAATATAAATTAATGCATTTGAATGAACACATGTACATCTGGTGCTGTTCATTGATTGAGTAGGATTCTCTTTTTTTTTACGTAATCAAACAATGTATCATCTTCAACAATACATACATGTATACATTTACGTTTAATAGTATAGGTCAAGCGAAAAGCACAGTTACGATCGATGACATTCCATTTAATATATCACCTAGACACTCAAAAATTATTTATGCAAGCTACTATTCGATTAGACTTATTCAAACTCATTTTTAAAATGAACTTTTAAGTTAGGACAAACACAAATACTGTTTTTTCTCTATCTCTTTGATCTTCTATTGTAGTTATAACTTAATCCGTCGACGCGTGCTTATACATTGTTCAAAACAAAACAAAAAAAAAACAATAGACAAAAATAATACTTACAGATATTCTTCTCGTATTTAGACTTTTGTTGCCTTTTATATATTCGTCAATCGTAAGCTGATAAATGGAATGATACGTTTGTCTTGTTCTGAAATAAATGATCGTAGAATATATGATAGTAACCAAATAGATTAATTGTATTTGATTGTTAAGAGACTAAATTGATAGAAGTCAGTATTTCATATTTTTTCTTAACACACACCGTCTCAATTTCAGTTTTTAATGCAAGAGTAAAAAGTATTTTATATATATATCCCAATTTTTATTAACATGTTAACGAAAAAAATAAATTTATATTTAAAAAACCAACTGGTGGCGTTTTCTTTTTCGTTCTTTTCTTCTAATCTCTAAATAATTGTACCCGACGGGAGAGATAAAAATCAAACTCAATTGATGATTAACGATTTCAAAAAAGAAATGTGTCATATTTTTCGATCTGCAATTTTGTTTTTTCGTAACATGTCGATTATCATCACCGTCATGATAGATGTGATATATACGCTAGTTAACAGATTTTCACCCAATCATACAGGCGTTTGACATGTCCTTCACATTCTTTTCTTTTTATCTTACCTTATGTATTTCGTGTTTAGTTAATGTCTTTAAGAGCTTTGCGGTTTTTGATGATGTTGTTTAAACAAAGTATATAGAAATGTTTGTTGTGTTTTTTGGTACTAGAACACACTTCTATTAATGCAATGTCCTAATATTCGTTTGTTCTTTTGAGAATAAATATTTTGATCGATCAAAATATGATTTTGTATATTCAAGGTTGTTTGTTATACTCCTTGAGTTAAATAGAATGGTATCTATTCGATGTAACAAGATATAAAAATTGTTGTAAAATTAAGAAAAAGAACAAGCCAAAGCGATCAAATGAATATTTGCTCTAATGTTGAATTGTTATTAAATGTAATAAAAGATAAAGAGCCAAGAATATGATAGGTTGAAGAAAAAAATCGACGCGTCAATTCGAGGCTGAAAAAAGAAAAAGTTACAAATAAATCAAAGTAAAGTAGTAAAATGAGAGTGAGAAAGAAAGAAAAGGGAGAGAAAGGAAGAGAGTGAGTGTGAAGGTTAAATTTTAGCGGCGTATAACCTCTTTTTCTTTCTTTTGGCTTGTCTGATAAAATGACTAAAACAAATAGGAAATCAATTTTATGCTTATCCTACTAAGACAATCTATTTCCTNCCCCCCCCCCCCCCCCCCCCCCCCCCCCCCCCCCCCCCCCCCCCCCCCCCCCCCCCCCCCCCCCCCCCCCCCCCCCCCCGCAACGAAAGCATTTAACAATCATTAACATATGTGTGAAAGGTGAAAAGCAAGCCAAAATTGTACTTCACGGTCCATTGATTGATTTATAATATGTGCAAGAATATAAGAACACTGGAAAATTAATTTTTAAACTTATCTCATGAGTAAATAAATAAATATTCATTCTTCTTTTCAAAAGAGACAGAAAAACATTCAAGAATATTAATTATAACTTTTCGATATTCTAATGAATATTCCTCACTCCTGTTTATGCTAGGCTGTGCTTTTCTTTTCTTTTGATCATAATATAAACTCACCGTAAGAATATCGATGCTTTTCGTTATCTTAGTATTTTTTTCACTGTTTGTAGCATATGATAAATATGACTGTGGAAACGCATTGATCTCCTCCGTTTATCTTCATTGTGTCTTCCGTTTACAAGAGTGTGCGCGTGTGCAAAAGTTTCTTCTATACGTGTATATGCATGTCAAATAATAATAGAATAGAAACAGGAACAAAAAGTAGGAGAAGAAAGAGAGCGAAGAAGAATATTAATATCTTGATGATGATGATGACGTCGTCGTTTGTTGTAGCCAATTTGCGTCAACGAATCTCATCATCAATAGTATTGATAGGAAAAAGACATCATGTAGAGATAGGAAATCTATCCATATAAATGCAAAGGAATAACATGTGTGTGTACGTGCTGTAAAATGAATACGAGAAAAAGACAAATGAGAATATAGTCTAACTAACATCATAGAAACTGATTCTGACATGTTTTTTTTTGTTGTTATGCTAAATGAGGAAACCTTAGAAAAGTTTTGATGTACGTTTATGCATTTATGCGTATAAGAAATATGCGATTAATTGATACCAGAAGCGTTTCAAGAATTAATATTACTGTTTAAAAAAGAATCTCTACTATGCATGATAGTGAATCATTTACTCAAGGAAATAGATTGTCTTAGTAGGATAAGCATAAAATTGATTTCCTATTTGTTTTAGTCATTTTATCAGACAAGCCAAAAGAAAGAAAAAGAGGTTATACGCCGCTAAAATTTAACCTTCACACTCACTCGAACCAACCGGCCTCATTGCCATTCCTTATCATCGTCATATCGCCACTTTGAACATCTATACAAGTATGTTTGAATGTTTCATCGATGAGAAAATGTACAAGCTGAATAGTTGCATAACATCACTTACATACTAGTCACCTTGACTTGACGTCACCAAAAAACCTTCTTCATTATTCTTCTTGCTTATCGAATATAACTATCTAGACTATTTCTTTTGCAGATGTATTACCGTTGGTGAATTGATGGCGATGAATACATATATGTGTATACAAGCGTTATCTTGATAATAGCAGGAATTATCTTAGTAAATTAGCTCAACTCTCAGACGCATACATGCGCAGACAAAAACAGGCAGGACAAACGGTATTGTAAATACAATTACTATCACCAGACCTTTTCTAACCGATCATAAGTGAATCAATCAGCAGCGGTATATAGACAAACGTCTTGATGCCATCACTATTGACCATCTCAAAGAAAGAAATTGACGAAAGATTTATTTCTCTTCGAAGTTGACATTAACTAATGACAACTAACTATTTATTATCTAAGCTTTGAATGATTGTTTTATGCTTAAATTTACATTCAACATAAACTCTTAAATCGTTTCAGTTTCAGTTTCTTCTACTTTCTCATTGTATTCTTTTCCTTTTTATTAAGATTTTATGAGACACCCAAATCAATTAGATTGCCTATAAACGAGAATTTGCATATATCTGTATCTGTATATTTTGTGAGCAAAGCGAAGACTTTTTTTCTGCTTTACTATTACTACTTGCCATATTTTTTTTCTTCCGCTTTTCAATCCTCTTTACGATTCAATTGTATACCGAAGATCTTCAAGTATATAGACAAGCAAACAAACGATACTCAAGGCTATGATTTACCAATTGCTGAGAAGAAACGACGAGATGAAATGTGACGCGGGCCTTGCTCTGTTGTTTCTACAACATTGTCAAACAATAACAGTAATATTTATATAAATATATCTTTCAGTTTCTTTCCAAAGATTTGCATCACAACGATTAGTATAGTAATTTAAGACTGTTTTTTTCTTATACTCTTTCTTGTCAATAAAAATCTTATTAAATTTCTATAATATCAACAACATATGCTGATATATGAGTAAAAATACATCCTTTAAATATGCATATATGTATATATATATATATATATATGCATATGCTCTATGACGCTTCGATTAAAATTGAATTTAAAAAATGTTACGGTTGTCAAATAAGCTAGAATGAAATAGACAAGACGAAATAGTGTTGCTTTTTTTATTGTTGAACAACTGATTACTTAGATCAAGAAATTTTGCATGCTCATGCATTATAAATATTTTATTTCCTACTTAGAGGATAATATCCCTATCACGCACATGTTTCCATGTGCTAGAAAATCTGTCATTTTCCGTCTTAATACACAAAAAAGGATACGGTAATATATCCTGTTACATCTATTAGTCATAATTACTAATATGAGCTAGTTTATTTTAAAATGAGTAATACAGGTAGTTGTTTTTAGTTTTTACTTAACTTTAATTTTCTACTTTCATTATATATTATGAAGATCTCTCTCTCTCTCTCTCTCTCTCTCTCTTTTTCATATACACATATGCACCTACCTACTTCATGTGGAATGAGGAACAAATAATCTCACACATTTTACCAAAGCAAAACAGAGAAAATGAGAAGGTAGAATTTTGTTCTTGCCTTCTGGTTATTGAAGAAAAAAAAACGAACCATAATTGATGTGGTTTCTCTCTCTCTCTCTATGTGCACTCCTGTGTGTCTAGTAGCATTTATCGTGCATAATCATAATAAATCCTCGGCGTGCCTGCTTCTCCTCTCTTGTAACCGCTATCACACTTCATTTCCCATTAATTGTAGATTTTCTCTCTTTTGTCTGCTCGTCTTCTTCTTTTTCTTCTTTATCATCATCATCATCATCATCATCATCACCATCTTCTATGTCGTTTCTCACATGCTACTTTTTGGTCGTCCGACAAGAGATTGTTTCCGCTCTAGTAAATTTCTCGATCTCTCTTTTCTTTTTATCCCTATCGTTATAGACGTCTGTGTCTGACCAGAATCAGCGAAGAGAAAGAAAATTGTAATAGTAACTTCCTGCGTGCTGTCGACATTAGCAAATTATATCGAAAATTCATACCTCAGGGAAAACTTCGTTTCTTCGTTGATCGATGCGAATAGAAGAAAAGCAGTCGTCCTATTCTTCTTGCTTTGTTACTATATATAGTTTATGATCGAATTTGTAAACTTCCAGATCGAAGCAAAAAATAAAATAAAAAAGAAAAGCACAGGTTTTTTGTATATATATATATATACACGTATACACATTAGCGAGACCATTCGACTGAATAGATGCAAAAAGAAATGAGAAAAAATGTATGTTATTGATTGTGTAAAAGGTGACAGCTGCTGTATTGATCCAACAGAATAATTGCTTCATACATGGGCATCAGAATGATCGGGGTTTGATGAAGATTGTCGATAACTAGCTTGACTTATGCTATGTTCTATTGCATAATACTGAAGATGATACGTTATTCAAGAACTATCTGTCAGCTCATTCGATGTCTACTGGTAACGTTTAAGAGAACAGATGGGGGAAGAGGGGATAAGAAGAGAATAACGATACAAAGAAAAACAATCAAGTACTCCACTGAGAAAAGAAACCATCGTGCCCTCCTGATTTTTTTATAATGATGATCATGAGCATTGTTGACCGGTGAGTTGACTCGCACTCGTCTACTGCTTTTTCTTCTTCTTATTACTAATGAAGAGTAAGAGAATATTAAAAAAACTGAAGAAAAAAGAAAACTTGATGAATAGATGTGGAAAGACATGATAGAATAGATGAGTGCATAGTTTTCTTGCTGTTATAAAAAAAAAAGAAAAGAACAAGTCTGAAAACGAAGGAAGAAAAAAGCAGAAGAAAAAAAAGAAGAACAGGGACTTTCAAATTACTGGTAGTGATGCATAGAAAATGAAAATATGAATACCGAGAGTGAGAATAAAGGAAGTAGCAGTAGAGCTTCTCGTTTGAATTGTTTCTCTCTTTCTGCTGCGGTCGACTAATAATGCATCATACTTTTTCAAAACAAGAGAACAAATTTTTGCGAATAATTGCTGCACTGAGCGTATAAATAAGATTGATTGATCGAACCAGAGCAGTTGTCATTGATCAATCAACGAAACGTATTATATCATGGATAGTTGATAGAAAAAGAATCGCCTATGCTTTTATTGATTAATGCTTTAAAACAAAAACAAAAACTACCACCATTTTTCGCATAAAATTTCTTTTACATTCAATTCTTTTAAACTATTTTCTGTCCAATCAATAAAAGACGATGGCCCACATACATAGGCGGTGACAGGTTTTTCGAGCCATTGAATAGCGTCTTGCAAATCTGTCGTGTTAATGTGTCGATTATTTATCTTAATATCATCATTAATTTCTCTGGTAACAAAATAATTGCTTCGAAGCATATTATCTTTTATCATTGGTTCACATGATGAATCGATACTATCACGAAATACAAGATCTCTTTTTGTTGCTGCAGTGTAAAAGAATACAATACGATGTGGAATTATTTGTTTGTTATTAGAAGCATATAAATCGGCAATATGCCGAAGAATAGATACGATTGGATTCGCTCCGATACCAGCGCAAATCAAAAGAATAGAATCATTATTAGTTGTCGAAGATTGATAAAAAAAATCTCCACCACATTTAACATTTATTTTTTCATTTAATTGGCAATTATTAAACATATATTCTGTTGGTGGATAGTCAGTTTCTCTAATTGCTAATTCAATTAGATTTGTATTAGAATAATTGGCCGGTGAATTACAGATTGAAAATCCAGTTATTACCGATGTTATTGTTGGTGAAAGATGAAAATCAAGAAACATGCCCGGTACGAAATGAAATCTTTGCAATGGATCATTAATCGATAGATAAAATTGTTTAATCGATGGAGTCAAAGTTTTAATCGAATGAACAGTTGCTTCATAGATTGGATCTTCTTCATTAGTATCGAATGAATGAGATCGATTTGATTGATTAGAAGAAAACATAAGTAACTTTGCTTTATTGATTAGGTTTTATGTTTTTTGAGAAAACAACCGCGAATCATATAAATCTATAGAAATAGAAAGAATAGAATAGAATACTATTTATATGTTGGGTTATGTTCAGTGATCCAGAAAATTTGCAATCATCTTATAAATAAACCGTAACAATCATCTTGTTCAAACAAGCCATGTCATAACTAGACAATGATGATATAACAAGTGAAAGATCACAAACAGAATGTCAGAGACATCATGATGAACACGTTAGTTTTGTTTTTGTCTACACCATAATAATCACTTTTCTCTGTCGTTGCTCATTTTCTAATGAGATAAAATGAAGAAAGAATTCAATAATATGATCGTGAAAAGAAGGATATGTTGTTGTGTCATATCTATCAGCACTATAGAGACTATTTGTATGTAAAGGTTCTTGTCAACAGATTGGTTGATAGTGACGAAAGATTTGTTATCATCATGCAATCTGGTTGCTTGCTCGAGTAATTTCTTCTTTTTCTTACGATAGATTTCGTGCTGACAAAATAAAACTGATGAATATTAATTTATTCAATTTTATTATTCGAAAGAAATCATAAGTAATCAATCTGTCTGAAGTGTTCCCAATAAATTTTTTCTCGTCTGGATAAGATTCGATGTAGAGATTTGAGTATATACGTATATCGGCGAATCAGGTGTCTTGATATTCTGAAGGTAAACCAAAGACATTGATTAAATAAAGAGATGTAAAGGCATAATATCGTAGTGAAGTAATAAATCAAGGGCGTATACTCTTTTCAAGGTAATCATCGTTCATATTAGCCTCCATAATGCATATATACTGACCTCAACAGCGATTTATCAGTGTAGATATCTCGTTCATTACTCCTTGTCAAATTGTCGGTGCACAAAATGATGCTAATATGCCATATCAAGAACTGTTTTTTTTTTAAATTTATTGTGAAGACTCAAAAGCTTAACAGTTATCAATTGTGACACAAATCTAAATTTTCAATAGAATCTTTTCAAAACTTTTAGGAATAGTAATATAATCCGATTATAATTGTGTTATTAGAGGATATAAAATTTAAATTTTGACTTTGCCAGAGTAAGTCGATGATAAACTAGATTAAGAAACAAAACCAACCATTTCATATAGTAGAAGAACATTTTCAATTACGAATAATCGATTTTTTTATCTCCTTTTCATATTTCTATTATTTTCGAATAGATTTCATAATGATGATTTTATACTAACGGGTTCTTTTTGTCCTGTTCAATAACACATTATTGATACTTATCTAATTAAAAAGTTTCAATGAACTTCATGATATCTAAATTCGATAAAATCTCCTATTCTAGATTAACAAGAAAACCTTTGCATCTGCCTATTGCTCAAGGCAAAACATAACTGATCAATAGATACAAGATGCATTACTCAACAAAAGAGAAGGCCAAAAATATCTTTCACAAGAATAATGATATCGAATAAAATGCAAGACAGTCAATAAACATTATTAATACAATCTTTTCAACAAGGTTTATCAATGTATTTGGTAAATATGCATATATATATATATATATATAAATATAATTTTTTTTCTGTTGCTTGCATACAAATACATAACAAATATCTAGACGATATAAAATATCAATAAACAAGAAAAAAATTTTAATGATAAATAAATATCATAACCCACAATCCAAATGTCTACAGAGGAAAAAAATGATCAGAAGATTTGTTTAAATCTTATGATTTATTTGAATAGAATTTGGATTCCAAGAGAATAAAAAGCACAGCATGTATAATGATGACATTCTTTTAAAATTAACCGACAATGAAAAAAAATTTCATCCTAAATATTTCTAATTTCACTTATATACTGAATATCCTTGTCATGAATTTCTTTTTTTTTGTGAAAATTGATTTCATTGTTTCTTATTTTCTATTCTACTGAACAAAGCATACGCACACACAAGAAAAACTGAAGAAACAAGCAAAAGATACACAGAAAATATAATAATAAATCAGTGACAAAAACACATAAAACATAATTATTAGACGTCTGTTGAACTCAGGACTCGTGTCGTTGACGATGATGAGATTAATGGTTTTGTATTTTCGACATTTGTCATCGACATACTCGACGTAAATTTTTTTAATTTTTCAATTTCTACTGGTGATAGACTGGCTGGGGAAGAATTTCCATGGTGAAGAATATTATTCATATCAGTTAAAGATAATGATAACGTCGAATAGCGTTTAATATGTTTGACGATATCTTTAACACGCACCGATTTCGCTCTCGATGCAGCGGATTCACCACGATGACTAAGAATATCTATACGAGCGCCTTTATCAATTAATAATTGAACTATATCAGGATGATCACGATCGATACCCCAGTGTAAAGCAGTCCAACCTTGTTTATCGGTTTTATTAACTGCACAATTTGATTCAAGTAGAACAAGAGCAGCGCTTGTATGATTGTGAAAAGCAGCTAAAAAATAAAAATAATTTCATTTTAGATATTTACTTTTCAAAATGAAAAAGAAATTTTCAGCTTTTAAAACTTGAACATACAATACATTAATGGCGTAAAATGATCATGATCAGTTTTATTAACATCAGCTCCTGCTTCAATTAGCATGCAAGCTATTTCAGCTAAAGTTGCTTCATTGTCTGTGCTACCATTATTTACTAATGACGACGATGAAGAATTTAATCGTGGTGGTGACCGACTAAAATAAAATTATTGCTCACATACATTTTTAAAATAAAATCATTTTTCGCGTTAGTATACCATAATTCATGAAGGGCTGTACGACCTTGTTCAGTTTCAGCATCAATATCGGCACCGGCTTCTAATAATGTTAAAATAATATCCGGATTGCAAAAATAACATGCTTTCATTAATGGTGTCCAACCGAGTTTATCTAAGATATGTTAATTAATTGTTCAAAAAAATTAGATAAAAACTAAACATTCAATCGATTTACCTCTTGCATTGACATCACTTCCAGCATGTAGAAGTTTTTTAGCTATTTCAGTGTAACCACGTTGAGCAGCATGATGAAGTGGTGTCGCTTCTCTCCCATCTTTTATAGCAATTTTTGCATTATTTCGCAATAGTACATCTACAACAAGATCATGACCATTTGCTGAAGCCTAGAACAAAGTAAAGAAAGGTAAGAAAGAAAAACAACGAGTTATATAGTTTGTTGAAATTAAATATTATATTTTGTTTCTTACAATCAGCAATGGTGTCGATTGTGTTTCAAATGCAACCCAATTCACATTGATTGTATTGAGTGTTCGATCGCTTTCTAACATTTTCTCAATTAGATGTGCTTTACCCAAACCACAGAGATTGTAAAATCGTTCATTTCGACTATCAATATTACCCATTTTGTTCTACATAAACATTTATATATATATATGTGTGTGTATGTATATGAATGAGAGAAACATCATTATTCTTCTACCATTGATAGAAGAAGAGTAACTTACGTAATTAGACAAGAAAAGAATGAACGAGCGAGTGAGAGAGATAGCTTAATAGTTTATATTTGCTTTCTCGATCTAGGGATGATGATGATGATGATGATGATGAAGATGTTATTGTTCAATATCGTTGATGCTGAATATGATTAGTAGAAAAAAGAGTACGAGACTTGATGAACGCCATCATCATCGTATATGATGAAAATTTTGTTATCTACAAACAAAGAAGAATAGAAAACGTTATGCGATCATGAATATTACCTTGTGTCCTTGCCCAATCAAGAGGCAAAAAGGAAAACGAAAGAAAAAAAATGAGCATACAAGATATATTGTTGCCAAGGGAATACGCTTAGTTTTTTTCTTCTTTATATTGACAGTTCTATAGTGGCTTTTCATACGGTGTATCTAATTTTTCTTTTTCTTTTTTTGCTGATCTTTCTCTCTCTCTCTCTCCCCTCTGTCTCTCTCTTTCTATTCCCTTCGATCTAATCAGATCGATTGTAGCGCATTTGGTCGATATTTCCTTGCATTCAAGAAAAGAAATATCCGGAACTATACTTTTTTCGTATGAACGTTTGTTTAACTACGGAAGATATAAAAGTAAAAATTACCTCTTCATTGCAAATAGGAAACGCTTGAGGATATACTGTCATCACTTGTGCGCTTACCTCGAATATAATAAGTTATGAAAAATCGTTAGATTAATAGGTCCAATTTGTGCATATAAGAGAGCAAAAGAGGCTTGCTTATACTACAAAACCTTTTTTCTTTTTCTTTTCAATAAGAATTTTAAAATGTAATCACCAACCTTCACTTTTTCGCTTGATTCTTTATTTATATCAATTCCATCAGCAGACTCAAGGTATTTAATGTGCACAGAAGGCATATTCGCACCATCACAAGCGACATAAATCAAATATATACTCTAACCATCTGTGGTAGAGGGGAGAAAAATAATAATAGCTGCTACCATCGGCAATAGTAGAAGCAGGAAGAGAGAATGGCGACCTTTGCTTGCCGTCTTCGGTGAGTCAGCCAGTCAGACACTTCGTTGATTCGATCGATCGATCGGAGAAAGAAGACTGTTGCGAGAAGAAGAAGAAGAAAAAGAAGAAAATCGGTTTCACTAATATATGTAGGCATCGAGTTTTCATGATGGACTGCACATAAGGAATATACTAGTCTTTCTCTGTACGCTTTAACAGAATAACAACAGTCACGAGGACGGCGTCGATGATGATAATACTAACCATAGCAATTGCCGACTTCTAACATGATAATACTAGTCGAGATGTCTCTCTATCATCACTCACTTTCCGTTCATTCATTCATGCATTCATTTGATCTAATCGAATCGTATATAACCGATATCAATATTAGTTTGTCATGAGAAATAACAAGAAAATGCAAAGAACGACCAGAAAAAAGCAAAGACAAACTTAATATTGACATTCTCCACAACAGACAAATCGAGAATAAAAGTAAATTTAATATTATAACAAGAAAAGAAAAGCAGATAGCTACGTTTACCTTGATTTCTTTCTCTATATTATGACTAGGTTTTAATTGATTAAAAAATATTGGCCTTCGAAAATGAGCGATGCTACAATGTAAATAATGATAAGTATTCATTCATATAGAAAAACAATTCTTGATGAAAGCTTCTGTTAGTATCAATAATAAAAAGAACATGAGAACTCAATTTAAAGATTCATTAATTCAAGATAGATTCGACTCAAATTTCTGTTTCGTTCTTATGCTTTAAAAAGAAGACTTACCGTCGGTTTAATTACAATAAAAAATTTATTCTGATGAATATGATTAATTGAAACAAATTTACTCCTATCGATGAAGGACATCATTTTTATTACTATCTCAAAATGATAAATCGGTGATCATTGATATTTATTTTCTAATGAAGACTCTCGAAGAAAATGATAATTGGAGTCCTGGAGATATGTCAACAGTAATATTTTTGTCATAAAGACAAGCTAAAAATGAAGAAGAAGCAGAAAGATAACGAATCGACACCGGATATAAAATGACATTCGAATAGAACAGATATTCTATCCGTTTCCTTAATATTAACAATAATTCTTGTCATACAATAATCTAAAACAAAACAAAACAAAATCAAATTTTTTATTGTAGAATATAAAATCGAATTGATTTTATTTGAAAATATAAAAATGTAAATCGAATAACAAATTTGCAATTAGATAGACTACCTCGTTGTTTTGAAATTCAATTGTTTTCGTATTGATTAGATGAGATTTGCCTAGGCGTCAAGTTTCATAAATTTCTTCTTCTTCTTCTTCTTCTTCTTCTTAGCCGAGATTCATGAACGAACATACGTTTGAATATTAAAAAAAAAGAAGCATTAAAAAGAGAGAAAAAAAAGAAGTGAACTATATCCAGTAACAGAATTCGGTCAATGGTAGAATTAGTTGTTATTTTTTTGTAAAAGAAAATCTTGAACTAGCTTGACAGTCTATCGCTGTACACAAACACAAAATAGAAAAAGAAAAGAAAACAAAACACAACAAGAAGAAATACTTGTCTTTCTTTTTAAAAGTCAATTTGGAATGACTGAAAATTTTTATTTCCAAGCCTTTTTTGTTTGATGAATTGCAGCAAAACGTTTTGCTATAAATGAACCAACAACAAATGCTACTGTTGACCAACCAATAAACATAAAATCAAAATCATCTTTCAATTGATCAAATATTCGTGACGGAAAAACACGCGTATAAAAAAGATCTAAATTAAAAGAGTTTATAATTTCATAAACAAATATTTGCTTATAGCTACATACCAAGACCATATGCAAATACGACAGATGTTGACTCAAGACCCGTAGCAACTGTATGAATGCCACGAATATTATAAACAAACTTGTAATAATTAATAACACTTTCAAAATTAATCATTATTTCTGGTGTATACATTATTAAGCCTTCTTCCCTACAATTGAGTTTTTTTGGTTTTTAATTTAAAATATTTTCAAATTATTATTTACCTATCCAATAGAGTTAAATCAAGTGGTCGTCGTGGATCAAATAATATCCAAGGTATTTCAATTAGCATTCCATTAGGTGCTGCCACTAAAATGATATATTTTTTATTGGCTTTCTTTTAAATATTTCTCATCACTTACTAATTATATCGCGTGATGTAATTCCTTTTTCAGTTGTTGTTACTTGAATAGCATTAACACCATACGGTAATATATATGCTTTCGATTGTACAACTGGCTCAATAGGATCAAATGATGAAAATGCCGAATCATTGTACTGTGCTGGTCCTTCAAATAATGATGAACTAACAGCTTCGTATCGACGATAACGTTGATTATAATATGTATACTATATAATTCGAAGAAAAACAATTTTCTTGTTCGATCTAATTTAATTAAACACTTACGATTATCCAATTTTCAGCAAGAACCACATGTACTGGCGGTTTAACACGTTTATGTGTGTGAGAAAGTTTTAATGAACCAGTTACCGTGTCCAATAGATAAATATTTACGAACGGAACTAGACAAAATATAAATAAATTATTATTATTTATTGTTTTCAATGAACATTCTTTTCTGAAGTTTATCCGTTCTTCTTTAAGGAAGTTAATAGAATGTAATGTAATTAGTCATAAGACGAAAAGAATGTAACTGAGATTATTGTTCTGCATTTAGATAGACAGACACATGCGATTAATATAGATCGATATCACAAAGATTCTCTCGTTTTCTTCTGATGAATAAACATGCATATGTATCGGTTTGTTCTTGACCTTTCGCAAAGATTTAATGTTTTCAGCGAGTTTCGGCTGTAAAGGCACACATTTGTAGCATAATCCTTTGTCCAACATTCCGACTAGAAAATTTCATGCTGGAAAAACACTAATCATACTAACTCGTATAGAAAAATCTATGGAAAAAGAGTAAACTTAAAAATAAACGAACAACTACATAGATCTTCTCGTTAGCTCGTTTGTTCAAATAGAATATTAGAGAACAATCAAACACGATCTTACACTTACTATTTAACCATTTATATGTTAACTAAACTCGGCGAAAATATAATCAGTTGTGTATATTTCCTCAATAATTGCAAATCACTCATGAACACTCAACAAGATGAAAAGAAAATATACCAAAAATTTTACACACTCGTTTGATCTTTCTAATCTTGAAACAACCACGCGATGAATATCTTCAATTATTCTATTCATGTCGATGAATAGGTATTAATTGTATCAGAAATTTTTTTTTATACTAGCTATGAAAAGAAATCTAAATTCACACCTTTCTGATAATCAATGCCTTCAGTAACAACAGCAATAAGATTTAGATTTGTATATTTGTAAAGAACACTTCGATCACCAAGAACAATACCAGCCGAATGAACACGATCTGGAAACAAAATACATACGAGAAAAATATTTTCAAATCATTTTTTTATTTTTATTTACCGGAACTTGATCGACTATGTATGTTAACAACTTCTTCATTTTGAAATGAAACACGCCATACTTCTTTTAGATTTGTTGACTAAATAAATAAAATGAAAATGCTCTGAGATATTTTTACGTACACATTAAAAGTTATAATTTTCATTGGTTTAAATTCTGAATCGTCAAACTTCATGTAGATTATCGAACATTTTTCTGTTATTTAGATTCTCTCTGTCTCACTTTACTATTGACATTCAACTAAAAATTTTCGCTTACAGTTTGTTGATCACTTTCACTAATGGCAACGTAATAGCCAACAAATGCTTGTTCCGTTTTATCGAATAGATAAATATAAGTTGGAATTTGACTATTTAATACCCGTGAAATTGGTGCCGGTGGAAATGTATGTATCTGAGCAGAAATAAGAAGTCACGTTTTTGAAACTTATTTTTCATAAAACTAACTTTATTATTTGAATCGACGAATAGTAATACTTTACAAAACTCATCCACAACTTGTGTTGATAGAAAAACATGTTTTATACGATATGGTAATGATGATGTACTTAACGTATTATCTAAATCTCCTGTATATGGATTAAATGTTCGTATATGAGTTTCATGTAAAGAATTCTAAAAATAAAATTAATTTTAAAAATTTAATATTTAAAAAAAGTCAAAATTCTTCTACTCGATCACGATAAACGATAGATGCTAATGGTTGATGTGTATAATGAGCAGCTGAACGAATATGGAATAAAGGTACTTGAGCTGCATTAAAATTTTCTAGTGGCGTAAAATTATTAAAATAATGCTTCCAGAGAACACCACCACTTTGTGTTAAAATACCAAAAACCTTGCAAGAAGAAGAAAAAAGATCTAAATCAAACTTTTTAAATCAATGATTACTTTTCCAACAGATGTAACAACAATAAGAATTTTATTAAGATTAAATTCATCTCGAACACTTGACTCTTGTGTATCTGTATAATCACGATTTCGGTTTCCATGTGTTATCAAATCGGTTAAACGTAAAATGAAACTCTAAGAAAGAGAAAATATTTAAAAAAATTAGTTTCATTTACAAATGAGATATATTACAATTAATTGTGATAATTGAGTTGAAATTCGTTTTGAAAACATACTGAAAATCTCTGTACCACCAAATTCTTCTTCAATACGCATTTGTCCAATTGATAAGGATAAATCAAATGTGTCAACCGATATTATTGATGACAATGCTTCATCACGATGTAGAATTAGTTCAGCTAATAAAAAATAATAATTATTATTAGAGAATGCCAATTTTATTTATAACTGATTTTGGAACTTCAATTGAGTTCATAAAGATTATTCTGTTAGATTAGCAGACATACGGATGAGTTCGTTCTCTAGTGTCTTCTTTTTTCATGAGCTGTAACATTTTCAAAAAATCAATATTTCGACAAGAGAATAATCGTGTCTTACGACTAAACGCTTTAGAATATTCTACTCGACATACAGAAGATCTATGAGTAGAATTTTCAATTTTCAATTCCATTCCGGGAAATTTTCTTGTGTTTCTAAATTGAGTTCAAAATTCAGTAAAATGAGTAGAATTTGGTTTCAAAGATCAAAGTACACTAATGTTTTCTGGCTTTTAATAGCCTACCTAAAGTACAGTTAAGAGTCAACTATAATCTTAAATGGCGACTATCTGATAGAATCGTTCTCTTGTGAGTAGTCTATATCAAGAATCATATGACCTTCGAGAGATGCATAACCTTACAATTCATCAATATGAAAAGTGGCAAGATTATCGTGCGTATGGCCCACAAATCAGAATCTAATATCTATAGTTTATTCATACCTCCACTATCAGCTAATTTAATAACAAGTAAAGAGCCATCTTGCATTCTAAGTGTAACTAATTGTGTAGATTTTACAATTGAATATGCAATATATTCAATTCCACCCATATTTTCTGGAAGTTCAATGGAATATGAACGTGTATTTGATAAAGTTTGCTCATTTATATTTGAAACATAAAAGTTAAGTTTTTGTTCAGTGGCTGATGCTTCAAGTATCTGTTGACCAACTAGGCTTTTTTCTGTGATAATACTATAAAAACCATTAGATTTTATTTGAATATTTAATTCATGATGTTGCCATTCTATTGTTGAATCTTTTTTATTAAAGTGATAAATTTTTGTTTCAGAATTTTCCATTTTGATAGATAAAATACTCTGCGTATTACTTTCATATAAAACACGTATTCGTTCGATTTTATTTGATAGTTGTATTTGATTAGTAAGTATATTAGTATCATTCATTGTTACCGGAATAGTAACCATTAAAACTTCATTATTATTTGAGCATAAAATAAGATTATTCATGGTGGTGCATTTACTAAAACAAAAAATAAAAATGGTTTTCTTTTCTTTTCGAAAAAAAAGAACGCATATTACTTTCGACTATCATCATAATTAAATGACCATGGCATTGATGAAGAAAATGATTGAATACCATTTTGTTTCGAATAATAAGTTATTTGAAGCTGATTGATATTTGAATCAATACTGCCAACAATAACATATTGCGATGTTGATAGAAGAAAAAGATTTTTAAACGTTGATCTTTAATTAAAAACAAAATAATTTATTTTCCATGAAGATGACAATGAAACTACTTACTTTGTTGGAAGCTCGATTGACCAGAGCATTTCACCGTACGATGATACACTCCATAGAAGATCATTGCTTAAAATATGAACTGTACCTTAAAGCAAGATTATAGACAATAGAAGTTAATTGTTTTGTTTATCAATATATTCGAATAGATTAAGTTCATCGTACATTTATGATTTGACCATTTAGAGTGAAATAAATCTTTCTTATCTTTTATTCAATTAGTTCAATGAAGATTCTTATAGCTCAATTGAATATGTTAAATGATGCGTTTAATGACAATGGGAGACATTTTTCAAGTAGATAAACCCGATTGTTACATTAAAAAAAATGATCATATCATAGTAGCTTTCATCTTATTATTTGTATTTGAAATAAACAATAGGTCACATGTAGGGAATCAGATTGATGATTAATGTAATTTTCCTCTCTTTTCAATTTATTCAAAAATAAAAAAGATATCAAGTATAAGATTATGCTACGATGCATTGAAAAGCTTTTCAACTGAATGCCGAAAGCAAACAATTCTATTCAAAAGACAGAACAGTGCAATGTGCTTTTTGGATACTATAGAAAACAATCGCCAAAACTTCAACATGAATTTTTATTTATTTATCGTATTACAATTTATTTTTGAAAAAGATAACTAGTGAAATTTTGAAAGCTACTCAATACCATTGAAAATATTTTTACTTGTTTAGAAATCTGATTCATTTCTCAATAGAAATGTTGCGCTTTATTTTTTGTTCGAATGTAAAGAAAGATATTTCTCATCTTTTCTCAAGTACGTCAATCTTTCGTGTGAATATGAAGTGATTGAAAACTTCCATTTATTATGAGTTTGATTCAACATAACAATGAAGATAATTTAATAATAGTTCTCAAGTTATATTATTCGCTTTGTTCCCAAAAGTAAAATGAGTAAAAAACGATGACCTTGAACAGCTGACTAATCGATCTTCATATGAAAATAGGCACGCATAAGCAAATTGTTACTAGATTTTTATCTTAAAATAAATAATTATTGAGTCAAGCTTACCAGGATCAAATCGATTTTTAACAACTTGACAATGTTTAGGGTTGGAATCCTGATTTGAATTAATTGTTGACGGCGCTGATAATTGCCATACTTCGAGACCATCAGCATATCTCAATGCGCGGACCCGTCTACCTTCTCCTGTGACAACGACACTTTCTTGATCATACCATATAGTTCGATCAATTTTTCCATATTCATTTGCTTCAAAAACTTTTCTCCATCCTAAAAAATAATATTCAATTGTATCACAAGAAGATGAGTAATCCTCATTATTTCGTCACGCATGAGTCTGGTCTTTTCTTCTTCTTTTTCTTTTCCATCGCCTACTACTTTTCTTTTCCATCGCCTACTACTTTTCTTTTCCATCGCCTACTACCCTGTCACTATCTATGCATTATTCACTTATTTTAGTATATAAAATAAGCTGCTATCGACACTAATGGTAGTCACAAAATAACGAACGAAAAACAAATTATCAATGGACCGAGTCGTTACAAAAACAGTCGACGCTTTAACGCGATTTGGCGAACGTATCGAACGACGTTTATCAACGGGTGAGGATGATGATAATAATTTTGGTCTCGAACGATCAGGATCAGGCCATATGTTTTCAAGTTCGGGATCAGAATTTCGTCGACCATCGGGTGAAAATTATAATTATTCATCAAAAAATCGGGATTTGGCTTATGGTCGCGCAGGAAAGAATTCTAAGGATAACTTAGCAGCTATGCCTTCTCCTTATAATAATTTTAATAACTATCGACAAAATTCAATGGCTAATCAGTATGTAGATCAAATGGACACATCACCTTATGGAACTGGAATAGGTGGTCCTATGAATTACGGTTATTCTGGTCAATCTTCAGGTGTACCATACGGTGCTGCTTCTGGTAATGTCGGCTATGCTCCAGATTATTATATTGCAGAACGACGACAAGTTGAATTAGTACCTGCTCCACCACCACGATATATTCGACAACCGGTACCTGTTCCTGTGCCTGTTGATCGTCCTGTACCTCAACCATATCCTGTTCGTGTACCTGTCAGCGTACCTGTAGATCGGCCAGTACCATATCCTGTACCGGTAGCGGTTCCTTCACCGCCAGTTCAAGTTCCGGTGCCTGTACCTACTCCGGTTCCATGCTATGTACCAGTTGCTGTTCCTGTCCCATCACCTCCTCCTAGTCCTGTTATGGTCGAAAATTCAGTTACTTATACGCAACGTTGGGTTGATAGTTCGCCTGCAATAATGAACCAACAAAGTTATCGAGCTGGTTCTCCAGTTATGATGAACCAACAAAGTTATCGAGTTGGTTCTCCAGTTATGATGAACCAACAAAGTTATCGAGCTGGTTCTCCAGTTATGATGAGCCAACAAAGTTATCGAGCTGGTTCTCCAGTTATGATGAACCAACAAGATTATCGGGCTGGTTCTCCAGTTATGATGAATCAGCAAAATTACCGGGCTGGTTCTCCATTTATGATGAATCAGCAACGTTATATGGCTGGGTCACCTGCCATGGGAATGAATCCATGTGCAGCCTATGGCAATGGTTCTTTCATTCGTTAAAAAACATTTTTATATTTTCTCTTTGTAAACTTTCTATCTTTACTCTCTTTTGTTCATGAAGAAATAGAAAAACAATGATAAATAATTACCGATTTTTCGTGACGATAAATCGAGTGAAGCAACGACATTTTCGTGACTGGAAACAATCAGACGATTACTACTACCAGAAGGTTGATGAGAATCATCTATAAAGCCGACATGTTGGCGGTGCCTAAAAAATAAATCGAAAATCACAATGAAAAATATTTCTGACTATTCCTATGAGTATTTCAAAAATATCAAATGTTGATTCTGCATCACGTATTTGGTAGCACAAATACTATTCCCTTTAGATACTGTTTTCAATCAGTGTTCTTAGCATAATAACTGCCTCGGTTATACTATAGTTATGAATAAATACTAGAAAATAGTATCGGTTGCTTTATCTGTATCAATAAAAATATATTAAATTGAATATGGAAGAACAAGAGATTTATTTACTTCTTTTAACATTACTAAGCTTAAACTCAAGTCGGATCATGGTGATTGGAGAATAAATGTCACGAAAGAATAGAAAAGAAAATAATAGCTCATGCATGTATAAGGCAAGTATTGTCTTTTAGTCGAAGAAAAGGATATTGTCAGTTAGCATCAAATCGAGACAGAAAAAATAGAACTATAAATAGTACAACGAGAAGAGAACGATAAATATGCAAGCTCATTTATATTAGTAATACTATAGATCGAGTGAATATGTCAAATGTAAACACGAAAAAAATAGTGCATTTCTTTTAGAAGGATTCGAATTTTGATAATTATATTGGATCATTCGCAAGTTTTCTGAAATAATAGAAAAACCACAATCTATTCTCATTTATTATATATTTTGCTTATTCTGACTAGTATAAACTTGTCTGTAATTTTGAAATTATTCTCTTGTTTCAACACTTAACGCGCATCTATTCTGTAGCTCTAATTATTGATAGGTGTAGAACTTTCAAAATGAATAGAAACACTGAGTCTCGTAAATGGAAAACAAATTTCTAATCAATTGTATATGAACACGGCTATTTATAGAAGCTATTTCAATCAGGAAGCTAGATCATTTACACGGAACTCGATTCAGTTGTAGACGAGATGCGTCAAATATTCACATAAAATTACAAACAAAGTTCAAGAAGAAAAGCAACTATGTCATTAACAATTTTGTTATAAAATCCTAATAGAGCAAAACAATTTTTAATACAATAATGAACTTATATCGATTGGAATCCGATAAAGATGACGACGATGAAGCAAACAAGATTCGACAAAATAAAAAATTTAAATGCGACAATTCTCATCGGCACTGACAAAAACGAAACAACTCTATTCATGAAGAAGTGAAACTTCAATGTAATTCTTTTTCTTGTTTTGTTTTTAAAACATAAGCATAGTGTTCTAAAATGTTCGAAAGATATTCGATCATATGAAGATAGGAGGTCATATTAGAATAGTCGGAGCCTATCTATTATTATGTGTAGCAGCTCAGTTTGCATTCTATTTTATCTCTCGCTTCACTGAACTTACATGATTCTCGACCATGACCAATCCCTTGTAATAGAATATCGCTTATTTATGAGCCATGGTTTCTATCTTAATATATTTCCGATTTTTTCTCTCTATTCTTCATTGTTCTAAGAGTGACAAGTAAACAGACCCATTAATGAACAATCTTTTGTTTTATATATAAGAAACAAGTACACATCAGTGATTTTATTTGTTCTGAAAATTTATTGTTCGCCTCGAAAGAAAAGAAGAATTGAGTTTCTTTTTGAAATAATCTTAATCAATATGGACGTTCCATCGCTTTGAACAAAGAAAGCGAAGAACTTTACTTACCAATCAAATTTGCCTACTTGATCTTCAAATAAACTGTTGACTCTATGAGGCACTAGTATTATTGCGCAAATAAATATGACTAGACAATTAATCGATAAGTTCATCTAGAAGATTATTATTAAAATGTAAATAACAAAAAAAGAACAATCATTCTAGTTTTTCTATAATAATTTTTTTCTGCGATTTTATTCAAATGTTTTTCTCTAAAATTCGAACAAAAGTTCGCAAAAAAAACAACGATGGAACAAGTTTCTTCTTTTTTTTTTCGTTTAACGGTTTAAGTTCTTATGTACTTTTGCCTTTTGGTTTAATTTCTTTTACATTGAGACCAGGTGGCAATGATTGTTTGACTTTTTCAGCTTTTTCTTTGTCGGCCACGATTACTAGAAGCAAAAAAAAAACAGACTCAAAAAATTATTCATCAATAAAAATCATTGATAAAAAGTACAAGTATATAAATATCGACTGCATCGAACTTTGAATTTTGTATTTCCTTGTCGTGTACCATGTTCAGGATTACGTTTAATAATCACTGATTTTGCATCTTTGCGTCGAGCAATGAGTAAGAAATCTTTGATATCTTTGATTTCCTTAGGCATTTTGATGGTTTAGTTACGAGATGAATGGAAAATCTAAAAGAATAGATACATTTTTGTCTTGCATTTCTTATAGTAATCAACTAGTGACATGGACAATTAAATAATAAACAACTCGATACGATGTCCACATTTTACCTCATAGAAAAAAAAACATTCAAATCTCATTAGAATAAAATATATTCTATGTATATAGAATTTTACAGTGTTTGATTTATAAAAATTTATTTTCAATGATTTTATTTTACTATTATCCGATATAAAAAAAATATAATAGTAAACAATATGTCGCTAGTAACTGATAAAAATGATTCGTTCTCTTACAAACGGTTAGAAATTTATGAATGACTCACTTAGAAAGTTGATCAATCCATATCCATCCATCAATAAATCATAGAAAAGCCTGTTTTCTTCGTTTGTATTTTCTAAGCTAATATTTTGTTTTAGACAGGATGAAGATTAAAATGTTATGTCGCAATCCATCGGACTATGTCCGTGAAACAAAAAAAGACATAGTACCAGTACAACGAAATTATGATCCAGATCTTCATCCGTTTCAAGTAGCACGTGAATATACTCGTGCGATGAATGCTGTTAAAATGGAACGTATATTTGCGCGACCATTCATATGTAGTTTGGATGGTCATCGTGACAGTGTACAATGTTTAACAAAGCATTCAACACAACTCTCATTACTTCTATCCGGTTCATGCGATGGAGAAGTAATTTATTGAATACAATAAAACTATTCTTTTTTTTTACTGAGAAATAAAATTTTATTTAGATAAAACTTTGGAATGTTGCTCAACGAACATGTCAAGCAACAATACCAGCACATGATGGATTCGTTCGAGATATATGTGTTATACCTGATGGTACTGCGTTTTATTCAATTGGAAATGATAAATTAATAAAACGATGGTCAATGGATAATTATGATGCACCAGCAATGACGATTGTTGGAAAAGTATATTGACATATTAAAAATTTCAAACCGTGGAAATCATGATTTTTTTCTTTGTAGCATGTATTTACATCGATTGATCATCATTATAAAAATTCACAATATGCTACTAGTGGTGAAAATGTATCATTATGGGATGAACAACGTGCACAACCTCTTCAATCATTTAAATGGGGTGCTGATAGTCATGCTAAAGTCAAATTTAATCCAATAGAAGTAAGTTGAAAATTATAAAAGAATACTTTGTAATTGTTTTTAAGTCGATTCGTATACTCTATCTAGCTGAGCTGTAAGATAATAAAGATAATGTAAAACACAAAGTTTTTTACTAACATATTTTACAAATCGAAATAATTCTTATTAGCTGCTTTGTTTTTATATTTAGACTACTGTACTTGCTAGTTGTGCTGCTGATCGAAGTATAATTCTTTATGATACAAGACAATCAGTACCATTACGAAAAGTCATATAATAAAATGAAATAAATCAATTTTTCTAATATCTTCTTCTTACGTTTAGATTACACTTCAAATGAATTCCAGTTCACTTGCATGGAATCCTCTTGAAGCATTCGTATTTACAACAGCTAATGAAGATTTCAAGTAAATATTATTTTTCTTAATTAATCAAAATTTTCATTGATTTTTATTTTTTAGTTTGTACAGTTTCGATATTCGTTATCTGCAACGTCCATTTAATATTCATAAAGATCATGTAGCAGCTGTTATCGATATTGATTATTCTCCAACAGGCAAAGAATTTGTTAGTGGTAGCTATGATAAAACTGTTCGTATTTTTGCTGCTGATAAAGGACATAGCAGGTTCGTATGAAATTTTTCTTTTTTTTTCTCTAAATTTTTTCTTATTGGTTTTCAGAGATATTTATCATACAAAACGTATGCAACATATCAGTTGTGTTCAATGGACAGCAGATAATAAATATGTTATATCAGGTTCAGATGAAATGTGTCTAAGATTATGGAAAGCTAAAGCAAGTGAAAAACTTGGAGTGGTAAGTTATCTATTTGAAAATTTTTTTTATGAGAAAATTTGATTTCGATATTATTATTCATTAGATACGTGATCGTGAAGCAGAAACACTTGAATACAATGATGCACTGAAAGAAAAATTTGCACATTTTCCAAAAATAAAACGTATTGCGCGACAACGTAATTTACCGAAACATGTCTATCATGCTAAACGTGAACACAAAACAATACAAGAAAGTCAGAAACGTCACGAAGCCAATGCACGTGCTAATAGCAAACCTGGCTCAGTACCATTTGTTTCAGAACGATCGAAAGTTATTTTAAAAGAAGAAGAATAAGATTTTGTTTTTGTTATTTGTTAGAGAAAAAAATAATAAACATCTAAACGTTCATTGTATCTATGAATTGTTTCGGTATTAAATTAATAAGTCTTTATCGACAAATATGTTTAACTACTCACCGGTATAAATTCACACAATTATAGATTACGAATATTAAAGAAAGTCTATTCGTTAGAACTACACATGAATATCGATAGAGAATGAAAAGTGTGCATTATTTAATTGGATATCGTTAATTAAAAGAGAACCAAATCAAACTAAGTATATTTCAACATGTATAGAACTGCACTTTTTTTTGTAATTGAAAATTCATAATTTCTTGTACTTTTATTTCGTTAGAAGTAGACAGCGTGTCATTTATTTTATAGTATAAGCATAGATTTTATTATTATGGCATATTTTCATTGAAATAACTTCGAAAGTCTAAAGTTTTTATGAAAATTAAATATAAAACGAGATCTGGAAGCAGTGTACATATTATTCATGAATGCAATTTTTCTTTTATGATTAAGCAAGATGATAAATGAGTTTTGTAATTTTGATTTTATTCGAACGAAAACAACGCATATCACTTGTATTATTCAGCTAGATCTTCACCTTTTTCTTTATATACTGCATCCCATACATGAACATATTCATCAGCGACATCAACAACGCCGGAATGTAGACCAGACATGCATACAAGTAATTTTGGATCGTACGTAAAATATTCATAACAATGTGGTCCATTAAGTGTGCCCGAATAAATATAATGTACGTCACCAAAACGTGCATATTGGACCATGGCATGGTCCCGTAGAATACCAGTTATATACGCATCACCAACACGCGTCACTGGGTGTGGACGTTGACCATAAATGCATAAATTATCACGACCAGCTTTTGTTAATAGATATCCAATTCCAAATGTATATGGTGGATAATAAAAGCCTGGATATTCTTCTTCTGTAACAAGATAACGTCCTTTACGATCAACTCGTGATTTATGTCTAAACCAACCAAACATTGTTGGAGTCTGTGCTATTGTTTCATTTTGAATAAATCCAGAAATAATGCGTGTTAACAATGGTGTATTTAAATGAATATCTTCATCAACTTTAAAAACATATTGTATGCCTGGACAATTATATTTGCTCCAACAAATTGCTGCTAATTCTTTGTACGATACAACAGGATAGTTTTCTGGTAAATTCACTTGTACAACATCTAACAAAATGGACAAAATAAAATAGTCGTAAAGAGTTTTCTGTTTTTTTTTGAAAAAATTAGTTTCAACTAAACTTACCATGATGAAGTAGTTGTTCTATTTCAATTTGTTTTATCATTCCATCATCAACACCAACGAGAAATGTTAAACGTACTTCAATATCATTATAAGTTCTCCGAGCGCCCCAGGTTAGTCGAATAGCTTCACGTATATGAACGTTACTGGCACGTGATAATATTGCAAATAATAAAGTTTTCTTTGGATCGATATTATTACATGGATTTACAGGCGGATTTTTATATTGAATACGTCTATGAACTTGATAAAATGGATGAAATCCATATGGATTATCATCTATTTCTTCAGTTTCATTTATTTTGGATATATTGTTTACAACTGGATGGAGGTTTGTTTGAGATTGTTCTGTTAAGGGTATCTCATAATTATATAATATAATACTAATAAGAAGTAAGGTATTAATCGCAATTATTTTAATATAATCAGATGCGATTATTTTTGAACCATTACCAGTTAAACGGTCATTATGATCATAAGTTTTTTTTGTAGTTTCTTTGTCAGAATCACAATCTTTCGTACTAATACGAAGCAAAGTGGAATTTTGCATGGTATCTTCGTCGGCGATACTATTCTAATATTTATTGGATTGAAACAATACAAAAATCTAAATTAATAATAAAATCACTCTTTCAAAAATAATTTTTCTAGCCGAGAAAAAAAAAGATATTGAAGAATAGATACAAATTTACCAATGCTGAATCATCAATTGAATGTTTTATGTACGAGGAAATAACATTTCATACTAATGCATGTGTTCTGGAGAAAATTTAAATAACTATCTCGTACGTATATTTATGGAAGTTTTATCTTGCATAATTTTTGTTTTCAAGTAACTGTTTGAAATGTTTCGATTATTGATTGTGATTTGGGGCTAAATCAAGCCTACATAGGCATCTTACTCGAATAGATTTTCACTTTATATTTGTCGATAGACCATTTTCTAATCGAAAACGACACCATCCGAGAGAAAAACGAGAAATTCTTTTACTTGAATGTCATTATTAAAATTAACTTTTATTCAATCTAGTTCTTATTGATGTTTTTAGATAAATTGATATCGAAATATCTTCATCGAAAGATATGAAGTCATAATTGGATCTGCCACTATTCGGAAAATAAATGATATAAGTATGATTGGTTTTGATGATTTTCTCTTGTGTAGTTTTTCAAGGTCTTTTGAAACTTTTATTCATCTATTTCTAGACTGGTTTAATAAAAATGACGAAAAAATAGTTCTAATATAGTGTATGTCTGATTTTGGCATGTTGCAGTCGAGAATAGTATTATTTTCCATTCTCACAACAGATAATTTAACTTCTATGGTGAAAGAAAATGGATTCTTTTTCTAATATCTATTTGAAAATATACAGAAAAACACTTCGAATAATGTGCTGTAATCATAGTTTTTAATATTTATAAACTACTTAAACTGTTTAAACGATATTTACATAACATTTTCTGGAGAACTTTCAGGACATTGAACGAATACGAATTCATATATTATTACGAAAATTGTTCACTTAAATTCTTGATTTTCTCCAAATCGAACAACTAATCTACCTCAAACGAAGTATATGATTGTAAACTTACGGCACTTTCTTTGATCTAGATAATAGTATTTAAAAAGTCCATGTAAACAAACATTTATTCAAGGTGACAACGTATACTTTCTTTTTTTTTCTTCATGCATATGATTCTATCGTCATCATTATCTGAGAACGAAACAGTAACGCATCAATGCATCATCGATTGTATTAAAATAGGTGCACATTTTCTCCTAGTTTCTTTGACTCAAACGTAGGCAAATCATGAACTACAGATTTTTTTCTTCTCTGTTCAATAATATCACCGCCACACAAATTTTATCAAGTTCATTGTGTTTGTTTCTATTATTGGTATATGATAGATTTTAATCATTAATAAATATGATACTTCTCTTCTTGTTACCTTTGTTTGGTTGTCAAGTCAAAGAAAAAATGAAGAAAAAAAGGATGAGAGAACATCTCGAATATCATATACTTATGTACAAACGCCGAAATTCGAGATACTTATGCTCTTTATAATACAAAAGAAAATTTTCGTCTCTAATTTGATAGCAAAAGTCATTTTTCACTTATCGATTCTTTAAACAAGATGCAACCATCATATTTGTACACGTCTGAGCTTGATAAAGAAATTCAATGGCGTTCAAAATTTTCGATTGTTATACCGATTATAATAGGATTCTTACAAATGATTTTAACATTTGCAATTGTTGGTCTTGAAATAGCATCTGTAGTTATAACACCAGTCAAAGGAACACTTTATGCTGGTTTTTGGTTATCAACTATATTCACTTTATCATGGATAGCCATGCTTACGCTAGGTATTTAACAAAAAAAAAAAGTTCGATGATTTCTATTTTATCTAATATTTATTTTTGTTTCTATCAAATCTAGTTTGTTGTCATCGTTCGCGTAGATGTGCATTATACGTTTTTTTTATATCATTACTTTGTGCTGCTGCTGCTATAGCTTTGATCGTTTTGGATGCTTTTTTTATTGGAGATATAGATAAATGTTATTTTGCTAGTGCTATTTGTAATGATCTAGGACAATCTTATAATCGACCACCGTCTGCTCCACTTGGAAGAAAAGTTCAAGTCTTAAAAGGTCAAATAGCCTGTGCCGCTTTATTATTAGCAACTGCTTTGCTATATATGCTTCTGTTTATTTTGGCAAGCATCGGTAGTCGAACTCGAAATAACCGTGTAGTAATCGAAAATTCTCAATTACCACCACAAGTTAATCGCCAATATGTTAGACAACCATCACCAGCACCAGTATGGAAATCAACATCCGTACCGGTTACATATGAACCAAGTCAACTTGAATGCCCCCATTGTGGAACATTGATTAAATTAGCACAAAAGAAGCGATAAAATTCAAATGAAGAAACTCATATAAAACATTCTATCGAAGTTTTTTTTTCTCTAAATGATTATAGCTTTTCTTGGGGTTTGCTAATAAAATAATCAATATGTCAATTGGCATGCAGAGATTTTCTTTCAAAAATTAAAAAGAAAGTAGCTAGAAATAAAGTGTGAAAAACAAAGTTATAGTTTAATTTTCATTGCTTTTTAATGATGTCGTAGCCTTATGTTGTTTGATGTTGTTGAACATGTGATCGAATCGTTGGTAATCGAGAATTTGCTTGTTTCATTGCTAATATAAATAAATAAAAAACAACTATTGATAATTGCGTAAAAAGAAATGAAATTTACCAATATCGTTTAAGTCAAATGTTGATAGATTAGATTGAGACAAACAATTTTCTGATGCTATGGAAGCAGAAGAAATTAATTTCAATAGATAGGATTACAAAACTAACAAACCTTCAGTTTTTAAATTTCTATTATTATTTAGTCTAGTTGATAATACATGTCGACGAGGTAATATTGAAATATCATGTTCTGAACATTAAACTTAATCTCATACTTCAATTATATTAAATTATAATGATATTTACTAGATTTTGAAAATGCTATAGGTGTATATTGTATTTCTAGTAATTGTTGATATTGTGAGTTAATTTTATCATATTGTTCATTAAGTTTTATAAATCTGTGTTGTAATCGGTCTATAGTCACTTTATGTTCTTTACATGATAGACATGAATGTATGGTTTTATTTTGATCATTGAGAAGAAGAAATTGATTTAATTTATCAACTTTTTCTTTTATTGTAGCATATTCTTTTGAGTAGAAAAGGAAAAGGTGCCTGAGCGATTTATTCTATAAAAAAGAAACTCACCCATTTCTAGAATTATATAATCATTTTCTTTACTTTTTAATTGAGCTTTACAATTTATTAAATCTTCAATAGTCTTTTGTAATAAATCTTGATATTCATCATCAACACGGTGTTGTTTCTTATTATATATTTTTTTCTGTTTTTCATGCTTAATAACATTTTGTTGTTGTTTACGACGGCACACACCATGATATTCAATTGTATTTTGTGCTTGTGGTAAAATATTCTTATGTATATCAATAGTATATGGTAAATAATCTTTGTTTAAAAATATTCTATCAACAGAATCATAATCATCATATTCAATAAGTAAACGATTACGAATAAAATCACGTTCAAATTTTAAAATATTACCGAACTCTTCAAAATAGGCTCTTAAATATTCTTCATCGAATTCTTTATTTATTTTATCATAGACCAGTATACTTGATACAGGTAGAAGACGTTCAATAAATGAGCATACTTCAGGTGGAAGTAAGCGTTTAACAAATAATGGATATAGATTAATTGAATGTGGTCGTTCATTCAGAATAGCATCGATTGTATGATGTGATACGAATGATATTATAGCGAAACAACATGCATTTGTTGGACGATGCCGATGTGATTCATAGTTTGTTATACGAGAACCAAATCGTAAAAAATAAGATTTAATTGTTTCATCATCTATTTCACAGATACCATCAACAAATAATTTATTAGACATAATAGAAATAAAGTTGAATTTTTTCTTTTTTTGCTTAATGTTTCTCTTGTTTTTTGAATAAATGTCTTTATCGAATTCAAAAGATGACCTGTAGTATACGTGTTATTTTAGATTGCTATCTGAAATAATCATATATATATATATAGAATATTCACTATTAGTAGTCGAAATCGATCGTTCTATTCAATAAGGAAAATAATAGGTCACGTTGTTGCTGAAAGACAAAGAAAGAAAAATAACGACAACAATCACATAGAGAGATGATAGATATGTTTCATTACAACTAAGCTGTAGATTTTCGAGTTCTATCATAATGCTTTTCTGTCGTGACATTCGTCGTAAACATTTTTTGGTCAAAAATCCAAAAGAAGTAATATTTTGATTGTAAATCATATATCATTAACTGTTCAACTATAATTACTTTCTATGTGATATACTCGATTAGACATATAAGCCAGTACTAACAGCATGATATAGTAGAGGTTATTTACTCGAGTTAAAGAACATCTGCTACCCAATACACATACAATTGTTGATGACTTGGTTAAAACAACTGAATTTGCGAAGTCTACTTTTGTAGAAGAAATTAACACTTTCGTTTTGATATGTTGATAATCATTTTGAATTACAAAAAGACAAATAACAAGTACAACTCTATGTGAGTTGCAATGGCATAAAATCTAATTTTTCATTTCTACTATCATCTAAGAAACTTCGTATTTGGTGGCTTTATTTTCGATACATATCCTATACTATAAAATAATATATATATATATATATATATCTTCATATTTAATTTATACATTTGAGAAACCTAGATTTTATGTACTGCATTATTCATTCTAGCATACATTCAAATGAGAACATATCTATACAGTTCATTATGGGAATATTATTATCTCTCTGTTGTATCTGCCATTTGTTGCAGTGATTAAGTAAAATAATTTAATATTAGCGCTGTAGCAATTATAAGTACCAAATAATGTTCTAACTCATGATCACGATTATCACTTTTTATGTGTCGATTTCGTATGGGTGATAGTGATGAATGATGAATCGCTTGTTATGTCTAATATTTCCACGAGACATGCTTATCAGTTGTTTTCCTGACTCTCATAATAGGTTATCAAAAGCAAGCTGATCGATTCACCTTCTGTCAAGTTTATCTTTGATTTACAAAAAGAGAACGTATAAAAGAGAAACAACTGATTCTGTACTAGTTTAGAAATAATAAACATCTGTAATTCAATGTACATCATGATTGTGTTCGTTTTATTTTCAGTTACTGTTAATAGTTTTGCTGTGTATAATGCTGCAAATTTGATCGAAAATCAAGAGAACAAAGAAGAAACATCAAAATCTTTTAAAGATTATTTATTCTTTGAAATTCATACAGCTAATGAACAAGGTGTTGGTACTAATTCCGATATATATGTATATTACCATTATTGGAACAAATGCAAATTCAACTAGAAAAGCATTAAGAAGTATTGGTCCATCGATGAATGCATTTGAGCGAAATCAAGTAGATATTTGTATATATACAAATGTGAAATTCGATGAAACAGGAAATAGTATGCAAGGCATTGAACTTATGAATGATGATCAATGGGTTGGATCACGTAAGTTTAATAATTTGTGGTGGTTACTTTTTAACTCTTTTTCTTTGATATAGCTTGGAAACCAAGTTGTATCTATATCAGCCAAGTGAATGGTGCTCAAACAAATAATCAATGGATTATTTCAGGCAATCCTATATTTATTTATTTCCTAGAACCAGCTAAATCTGTATGTTACACATAGAATTCAGAAATTTGGTTTATTGTCGTTTTCTATTATTTTCATTAATCCTTTCAAAAAAAGAAGAAGAAAACAAACAATATACGTACGAATCATCTTTTTGTCAAGGAAAACTATATTGAATCCAAGTTAAACATCAATTTCTTCGAAATTTACTTCAAATAAAATTTCAAGATAATCTCTGTCCGGAAGTACCGAGACATACTTGAAAGGCTTGTTGCCATTTAAAACGAACATAATACAGCTAAATTAATTTAAAATTTCTTTTCTTCTTTCTATTTATGAAAAGCAATACAGAAAATTTTAACACTAATATATTTTTTTATTTAATTTTTAATAATAAATCCTAAAAGCTATCTGGCAACATGAAAAGTATTACGGAAGTTGAAACGAGTTTCTTTTGTCAATTTAGAACAAACTTAGCCCGTATATAGTCTTGTAAAGTGTAAAAAAATGTTAAAAGAAAAACTACTCATCCGTCAAAATATTGCTCACGCAGTCATATGGTAGAACTAATAGAACTAGATGAAAACAACTGAAAAATCACAAAAGAATTTAGATTCTTAATTTCGTGATGATCACGGTCTAAAATATACCAGTAATATTGCTGAACAAAATTTTTAATTAAAAAGCATCTTAAACTAAAAATAGAAGAAATGGGCTCCAAATAAAATGCCTAAATTTTTTGATGAAAGAGTTTCAAAATATTCATTTGACAATTATAATATTGTGCACGTTGTCTAAGAACAACAATGTTCTTCTGTTATTTCTTTTGAATACAAGTATGTCAGCTTTTTATTTATGGTACAATATCGTAACCTTATACAGAGAAAAAACCGGTACAATAAATTAACGATGCCCTTTTTGCTGAATTGTTATATGTTTTTGTTAGAATACATTCATTTGGGGCAACAGAAGAATAATTCAGAGAAAACGCAGTAAAATATGACTTACCATTTTGTTATAAGTTTTATTTTTGTCAGAAAAATAAGAGAGATTATCATATATTTACAAAAAATAAACTTTGAAAACTTCCTGTATTTATTATATTTGAAATTATTAGTCTAATATGGCTGCATTAGAGAGAAAATGATAATACGTCCAACGTCAGCGTAGAAATTATTCGATATCAAAAAATGAATACGTTGTTCAAGAAAGATCTAATGAGCTTACTCAGTTAGAGTAGAGAACGTCAATTAATTATTGAGATCTTTGCACTTCGAAAGATATACATATAATTAATTATTAGATGTTTGAAGAAAAATTTCTAGCATTTAATTTAACTAGATTCCTTTTACTACATGACTCTATTGTATTAACTCGCTTCTACTCGTTCTATTGGCATCAAATTGAGAGAGCAGACTGAAAACGATTTTTTTAAATCTTCAGAATTTAGCCTGAATTATCAACGAATGACAGGCACATCATGGATTTATTCACCATACGATATTCTAATGGCAATATTATGTCGATCGAAATAAGTAGTTTCTATTAGACATTGTGAATAAAATCTTCAACTATTCGACACGAAAAACGTTCTTCCAACGAACTAGTTGAATCCATGTATGACGTTCATAGTCTTAATAGAATTTGTAAAATGCAATAAGTTCTATCCGAACGGAAGAATAATAGGTGAAAATTTCAATGAAATGCACCTGTATAATATGTAAAATTGTTTCGAAGGTGAAACCTTCAAAATAACAGTAACGATAACAAAAATAAAATTGTAATTATCATCGAAATAACAATTATTTGCAGTCTGACAATATTGAAATTTATGTTGCAATCAAATTGAAAAAAATGAATTGAATTGAGCGGAAATAACGTCTGAATAGTGTCCTCATGTAAGATTTATATAATTGATCGCTATTTTAATCAAGGGGGAAAAGCTGATTCTGTAGTCATAGAATCATTGGAATCAGGTAGAATCAACAGAATCGCTCGGAATCACTGAAACTCTTCAGTGAGATCTAGTGATTCCGGGTGATTTCAATGCTCCGGATTCAGCTGTTTTCATCTTGATTACAATTAGTTTTTCATTCTGAACACGAATCTGGTATTGGTTTTGGTTGAGTCATAAAAATTGAAAGAGAAAACAATTGATTTTTATAGTACTGGAATCATACAGAATCAATGGAATCACAGAATCATGGAATCGGGGGGGGGGGGGGGGGGGGGGGGGGGGGGGGGGGGGGGGGGGGGGGGGGGGGGGGGGGGGTGGG